TAGCTAGGAAGGATACAGTATTAAGCATGCATCAACTTGTCATTACCCCAATATTTCCCACCCACGTCCACTCTCTTCACTTGGACATTCTGCTATGTCCTTGCACTGCTCCGTGTTGAGAATCGCGTGCGGTGTCGATATGCACGCTTGTGAGCATTTGCACCTAGTCTCAAGATAGCGTTGCCGACTAAAGTCTAACGAAAACGCCGAACACACAAAAAAACCCCCGAACAAGACACAATCTGGAGAAAGCCCGAGCTCACTAGTGTAGGCCGTCGCTTCCCTTTTCCTCGCTATTTAGCATTTACACTTTCGAAACTAAATTTCATGCATGCACCGTGCGGATAGTCCGGGTCTAGATCTCAGTAGATCCATCGGCAGCTCTGATTCAGCGTCGGGACTTCGCCTCCCCTGGTCACTCGTGCATGGATTTTCCTCACAAATCCATTGTCAACGTGGTGAGATCTAGATTATCGAACCACTAGGTTGGGTTTTTATCCATCTTCTTTTTTCTTCTTATTACGGTCGGCTCCGGAGCTAGCGTCGTTATCAATCAACATTTCAGTGCTTGCAGTTAAACAGTCGGTGTTAAAGTCTCAAGCTAGATTTACACATCTAGGTGATCCCAGTCAAAGCTAAATGCCCCCCAAAAGTATTTGAATTGACAAGCGCGCACCGCGTGCGTGAATATTAGGTTGAGCTATTAGTGTTCTTGTTTCTAATACATGATGACGGCCGGTGAGCAGAGTCTGAACGCACGCACACACGCTAACCGTAGCCAGATTGCTGGGAATTGATGTACACATCTAGATAGTATGTCACTGGGCAGTCTGAGGCAGTGCAATCGATAGTCACTCGTGAGAGGCATTCTCTGTCGTTATTTGGCCACAATACGAGATGATAAGCAACGGTTATTGATTGTACATGAATTGAATTTCTTGTTTTGTCATATATAAAGAAATAATTAGGGTGCAGATGCGGATGAGTTATGCCACCCATCCACTGTGCGTTCGAACTGGAGTCATTGTTCTCACTCGAAGATGAAATGCACCCTCGTTGATCCAAAGGATCCAATGAACATGAAGAAAGTAAAAGTGGTAGATTGATATTGTTGTCCTCCCTCCTTCCTATGTGCGTAAACGGAGTTACAAAGTATTGAACAAATTAATGTGAATTTATTTTGCTGCATTTCCATTTCTATCTCCTATTTTATTGACCTAATATTACTTTCATTCATTGACTTGGAATCTTATCTCTTCTTCAATCTCGCCTCAATTGCTGTGCTATTTTCACACCCCCAAGCATCACTTGACAAGACAGTGAGCATACAGATGAAGCTAACATCACACCGACAGAGTTATATCTACACTCCGTCAGATAATTCGGCACCTGATCCGAACTTTATCCACTGTGCTCACATGTACTGTCCCATCAAATTCACAATGTCTCGTTGAAGGAATTTGCAGCACTGAATGATTTATACCAATAAGAATCATATATAGCACTAAGGTATCAATATCGAAAAGGTAAATGTGGATTTCATTATTTCTTTCAAATCCCAATCCTGACTTCTGTTTGAAGACGATGATTCCTTGAATGCGCGACTGATGAAAGAAATGGCATATCAAGAACTTTCTCTCTCTTCTTCCGTCTGATAAAATCAAATTTTCAATGCCTTAAACTTCTCGGTCGGCTTAAAGTGTATACAGTGAAGGGCGTTTTAGGTCAAGTACAGGGATGGGCAAGATATTGTTCTGTTTTTGAAGCCGAGGTGACTTTAATCAATAATCTTTGAATCTGGGTGTTTTGCTATGCCGGGCTCCCTGTTCACAACAGAAGAGGGTTCGGAGCAAGTAAGCATTAAAAAGTTGCATGTTATTAAACAAGGAAGTACTATATACCAAAAACCATATCGGAGATTTGGTGACCATGAGATTAAGGGCTCATTCACGTACCAGAGAAGGATTCTCGGGGAAAGTTCCATGAGTCCCCTCTTAACAGGATCTCCGTTCATCGTGGCCCAGCCATGTATACCCTTCTAGGTCTTTGTCGAAGGGCTATCGGGTGATTACTCTGAGCAAGAATGTTAAAATGCTCAGAAGAGGGATGGATGCTTTTTGACTTAGATTGCCGAGAAGCCTACCTTTTTGAAAAACCCTGGGGCCTATAGTCAACATGTAGCACGTATCGCGGTCGAATTTCCAATCAAAGGTGTATATGGAAATACTCACATGTAGTATTACTCATCTTGGTTCTGGTTCGACTCCCGACCGTCTTTTAGAACCAGGTTCCTGCACTTTCTGCGTGGAATAGGGGTTTTCGATCCTCCGAATGATGGAATTGAAATGATCAAGATTCTATAAGTGTAGTTGTTGGAAGGGGATGGGGTATTAAAGCCTTCTTATTTAGTGTTGTTCCTGAACATTATCTGGAGAAGTCATGGCGAGATGGAAATGACGGGGAAATTCGGTATGTTTTGTTTGCCGAAGGATTTTTGGGCGAAGCCAGGTCCTATTGCGTGTGAGGCTATATCGAGGCTTCACAAGAGAACATAAAAAACCATGCCTAGGCTTTTAGGGAGTTGTAACACGGAGGATGGATGCTTATGTTGATATGGATATATATGTCGTAATCCAAATAGGGAAAGATACTGGTGCTCGACTGATGAGCCTCTCTGGTATTCAAAGAAAGTAGTTGTTCGTGAAAATAATACTTTGTTTATCAATCTCATTCTCCGCTGAAAACCAAATCTTAGACAATTCCCAGATTCGCTATATTATTCCCACTATCAAAGAGAACTTCCAATGTATATCCATCTATTCAACACAATGCAATTCTTCATCATATGTCAACCCAACAAATCAAAGAGGACCTATTACCCATTCCCTTCCGCCCCATTTAGTATCACAGCTATGGGCTCCCTTTCACCAAGTCAATTCAAGAAATTCGATCTGTGGTGGCCAATTTATATTCCGGACACCATTCATCCAAGCTCATCATGTGTTGCTGGATGTATCTTGTAGGCTGATGAAGACCTGTTGACTCGGGTATCAGTTTCTATACTTGTTCTTGCATCCAAAAGATAAAAAGAAATGAAAACAACAAAAAGCGAAACAGGAAAAGGGGGGTCGGCACCTAAAGGATGAGGATGATCAATCGTCTCTACTGCAAATGTTCTTGCAATCTCCATACTCGGCAGGTTAATTCCATCCTCAATACCCTCCTCAATCTCTCGATCTTGTAAATCTTTGAACCTAAGACCATCACACATTTATTAGCACCATATAGATCATCACTCGTCATTCCCACACCACCAAAACTTACCTAGCATAGAACCACTGATCCTCCGCCGGATGCGGATTATCACTATACTTCCACTCATCCAACACTCTCAAGATAGTCTTCCTACTCCTCATACTCAAACCCCCATTATATCCCTGCCCGAACTTCGGCTCAATAGGCGCACCAATCAAATCATATTCCATAAAATCATCTACACTCCTCGCCGCATTCGCACACAACATGCTATCCGACTGAAACAGCAAGATATGTTCCGCCGGCGCCAGATCCTCCCACAACCAGCGCGTAGTCAGAAACGCAGATACAGAATCCCAGTTGTAGAACCAGGTACCGGGGGCAAGAGAGCGCACGATGATACGGCCCGAGTGCTGGTGTCGGAGGAGTGCGGCAGAGGTGGAGAAGGATCCGAAGTTTTCCGCGGACGTGTAGATGATGAGGGGCCAGGTCGGTCCTAGCACGGCGCTGAAATGGAGAATGAGAGGAATGATGTTGCCTGAGCGTCGCGTTTCGATTATGACGGCTACTTTGTTGCTGGTGGTTATATTTGCTGTTGGGGGCTGGGGCTTTGCTCCGAGATCTCCTGATGAGAGTGTTGATGTCATATCATTGTGAGCTACACGAGTTGAGTTATCGGCCCCAAAGCTGACACTCCATGGATTTCCATCATTTCTCGAGTGCTCGATTGCAGTTCGTACGAATAAAATGAATATCGTGAGATAGATGACTGGAAAGAGCAGTTTTCGAGGTTTGGCCTTGAGGAAGTTTTCTTTGGCCGTGCTGACGTTGTGGTTACCCAACATAGCTATCCCGAATTATGTAAATGGAGTTGAAGACACCAGCAGCTCCTGAGATTTGTAACTGTATAAATTGAGATTTATTTCCCCTGTTCTAGGGATGATGTGCTTGGAATTCGCCATGCCGCATTCAGAGTTTGCTTTTTCTCCAAATTCGGAAATATGTGTATCTGAGACAATTTTAAGTGAGGCTTTCAGTAAATATGATAATGATAATGATATACATGGATTTAAACTCCTTACTGTTGTTAGGAAAAGTAACTCTTGTGATGGCTTTCTCTTTCTCCTTCTTTGATGCGCATCAAAATTTCAAAAACATCAGACATGGATACCGTCTCACACAAGAAAGACTGTCATTTTCCAAATGTCAAATTTCTTCACCTATTTTCTCTTTTTTTTTTTTACATAAACCAGACTAGACTTTCAAAGGCTTCTCTCAGTATGCTTTTCAAACATCAGTTTGGCAATAGAAATGTTCTTTCGCATTTGGTTTTGTTCTTCGTCGTGCTTGAATTGAAACCCTTCGCAACTTTCATCGTTTTCGTCGATTCCACAACTCAGTGATGTTTTCCGAAAACAGAGCTTGTGCTGCACATATGAGCTACCACCTTCCCGCAAAAAGCTAAAAGCTCTTCTAATGCATCGTAAAATTGTGTTTGCATCCATTCAGCATTTATTTTCTCTCAATGATTACTCTTTTGATCGACGCATTTGTCGATATCGAGTCACAATGTCTTTATTTCTGAGAACAGGTATTGTGTAGCTTTCGTGCCAATTTTGTAGAAACTACCAACATGTTTTATAATCTAGGAGGATCTGCTGTAATGTTTCTCTCCTGTTCATCAGTACTCTTAAACCTGATTCCCTGAAGTCTTGTGATCTATCGCCATTTTCGACCCTGCAATCATGGTGACTAGATATCACAATTTCATTATAGCATCTTTGTTGTTTGTTTGGGTGATATATTATGGAAATTCGATATCGGGGAAAGTACATTTGAATGATGGCAAAGAAACCAATAGTGGGGAAAGGAAGGACAGGGGAAGTTTGAAGTTCCCACCGTCAATGATTGGTGGTGAGGATGAGGGGGTACTAGAAGAGCGGGTTGGCGCGGGGGCGGTGGAAGCGGAGGAGCAGGGAATAAGGAATCAGAGGAGAGTAAATTAGGAAGACTAGAAGAAATTGGAATGGGGAGGGGGAAAAGTGCACCCGGTGATGCCAGTCCGCATGAGGAGAAAGTGTTGAAAGAGGAGAAAGAGAAGAAAAGATTAAGAGAGGAGAAGGAAGCAGAGGACAAAAGGGTTCAAGAGGAAAAAGAAGATCAGGAGAGGAAAGCAAAAGAGGAGCAAGAAAGAAAAGAGAACGAAGAAGACGAAGAGACGGAAGAAAATGTGAATGGGAGGCAGAAATGGACGTAGAGATGACCGAGGGGGAAGACATTAATCATGAGGATACGAACAATAACAAAGTGGAAGAAGCGAACGGCAAATACAAGTTCCTCGCTCTCCGTTCGCTCTGCGAAACCACCACATTTCAACCCGGGCTCTACCTCCAGTGCCACTCCTGGTGTGGTCCCAACTCTACATCCATCTGCGGTGGTCTAAACAATGCCCGTAATCGTTTACAAACTTGTCTTCGTTTGGCTCTAGACCTCGGTTCCGGAATCATCCTTCCCACAGTGCAATCGCATCGCAACACTGAGAACGTCGTTGACTATGGCGACACCACTGATAATACCCTATGTCCAGACGTATATTGGGATATTGAGTATCTTCTCCAGGAAATGAGTTCCGCATGCCCAGAGCTAGAAATCCGACAATGTGGGGATGTTTCTGGGATAGACGAGGATAAAATCGTACAAATGAAGAAGAGAGAACACGGAGATGCCAGTCACCACATCGGCACGTTTAAAGCTATAGTGAACGAGCATTTGGAATCCCTTTCCCTCTCATCTATTTCAGCCGACAATCCAATCGCGGTCGGCTTTGGTGATACAATATATGCATACAATTATACATATGACTCGGAACAAGCCCTACAAAAAGAGCTCTTCCGTACTCTAAGATACAATCGGAAGTTACTCGATCTCGGATCGAGGCTTCGATATAGTCCAGAGTTACGCGATGGATATATCGGAGTTCATTTCCGGGGTGAAAGCGATTGGCCCCAGAATTTCGGTTCACGGGAAGATCAAATGAAGTTTTTCACACAGGAAATCGAGCTTGCATCTACTGCCCAAGGGGTTACCGAGGCTATCAAGACCATATATATAAGCTGTGGGGATGAAGCAGCCATCTCAACGTTTCGTGAGCCCCTTTCGGCACTAGGGTATCGAGTTTATGATAAGTGGAATTTGGCATCATCTCTTTCTGAACCATCTCTGTTATTAGAAGAAATGGAATTCGACACCATAGCTATTATTGACTATGCTGTGTTGGTTGAAGCAGCCCTTTTTCTCGGAGTATGGATGTCGACATTTTCCCAAACTATTGCATATGCGCGTACTGTGGAGCTCGAGCAGGACTACTGGGAGACTTATGTCAATCCGGGAAGCAGAAGGGATGGACTGACGAGATTATGGGATCAAGTACCTGCTTTAAAAGGAGATGAGACGACTAAGATATTAGTCATTAACACGGGCGGGTTCAGTAATATGGACTCTTACCCTTGAGAGTTGCAAGTAGAGACTTTGAGTTGATGTTTGACAGTTAGATGGATGAATATACGTTTATGTGATATAAGAAGAATTAGTTACATTGTTTATGCAGACAGCCTTTCAAGCCATCAATCTTAAGGTTCTCGGTCGGAAATGAATTTCTTGGTTCATGTCCGGTATCAAATTGCACCGTCAAACTTTTATATTCAGGCACTGGAGTCAACGTGTGTTTGCTAACATATCGAACCAGGAAAAAGAGTGGCAACAACTAAAACGAATTCAACATTATATTATTGTACCATGCTAGCCAATTTATAATTTATCCTCCTCCGATGTTTGGATAAATTCCATACAACCCACATATATGTACTTGAGGTATGTTCAGGACATTTGAGACGCCCCTCGCTAGTGCTATATGTTGTATCGGAATGGCCAACTTTGGCAATGGATGTAAGCCTGTTTGATCATGATGTTGTAGCTTCAAACATTCTTTATGCTTGATCTGTACGTATACGAAAGCACCGGAATGCCCTAAAAAGATAGCGGATCAAGAACGGTTGTTGCGACTCTTCCATTCCCTTTCTTCCTACACCTGACTTTAGACGTGGACTTCATGAGACAACGGATTTCGCAGGAATTGCCGCTTGGCCACAGGCGCAGATAATCGTCCTGTGACCTATAGTGTTTCTGGATAGTAGGCATGTTTTCCCAAGGAAACTCTAGGAAACCTTTTTACTTCTGAATTTCTTTTGAATATCCTCCTCCGTAAACTTGCGGGTCTTCGTCCTCAGCATGGCTGCCAGCTCCTCTTTGCTCTTCCCAATATTTTCCCCTGTCGGAACGAGACATCCAGCAAGATGTTCATAATCCTTCTGCATCAGTTTGATGAACATCATAATGTAATCGATATTTTGGAAGACGAGAGCTTTGCCAGAATCGTACTTTTGTTTTCCTTTCAAGTAACTGAGTGGTTGATCGCGCCAATGTCGAAGTGGATTGAGATGATGGGCCGTATGCCAACCGTCGTTGAAGCAGTTTCGGTTGCTCTACAACACAAGAAATCAGTTATGAATCTAAACAGTGCCATGAATTCAAGGAATGGTCTCTTACCGCCACATCAATCAGAACAATGGAAGATCTATAATCCGAATCGGGATCAATTTCATCAACCAATGCATGCTGTCCCCAGTTCCCTACCATTAATCCAATTCGCATTTGCATGAATGGTATTAGCAATACGAAGAGGGTTGGCCAGAAGTTCAATCTAGCCATCACATACATTCCCACGTATGAGCCAATTTCCCAAAACAGCACCTCGCACGCTAATCTGATTTTATTAGTCCGGAAGAAGTATAATGGAAGCTCAAGCCAGATAAAGAACATAAAGCGACCCCAGTACTTCAGGAAATCAATTATATCGTCCCGTTGATACCGCAGAGTCGAAGAAAGATCATCTGGTCCATTGCCCTCAACATGATGACATTTGATATGGTGGTAGTAATAAGAATGTAGTGTGTGGCCCATGAGGGGTTCAAGGAGGTATGGGAACGTTTGGTCGAGCCATGCGTATTTCTTTACCAGCACTCCGTTGTTATGAATATGGTTGTGAAGCATAAGGGTGAAAGGTCCGCAGTAAAGTGCCTGCATGATCCAATGGCAGAATCCATGTATCAATGAGAACCTGTTGTATAGAATGATAGCGCTTGGGACTGACGTGGCGAGGTAAAGGATGATATGTGTGAGGAAGACAACATCTGTTGGTCGACGTACTACTCCTTTCGCCCATTGTATGTATGGCTCAAGTACGTATCGGTATAAGGGACGGGGGAGGCGCTCAAGATCTTCTTGATCCCAACTTGTAAAAACTGTAGGTTGGAATTTTTCGTTGCTCTCATCGTTGAGTGCTTCTAAAATCGAAATTTGCTCGTCGATTTGAGCTTGGCTTTCTTGACTTGCAGGAGTGTCCGAGGGATGGGCTTTGTTACTTTTTTGCACATCTTTTAGTAGTAACTCAAGCACTCTTCTATCGGGTTGAGTCAAGTTGGGATTCATGGCTTGGAGATCCATGATGTTGTAGATAATTGGTTGTTAACCAAAATTATTTGTGATAGAAGGACATGAATGAATATTTGTATCAAAAGGAATCCCTTTGGGACCATAATTTTGCGATTGAACTAGCAGATTCACCTACCTAGTATTGTGAAAATCGCAAATACCCTTAATTCTCTCTGAAGACCCACCGTGAGAAGATCAGGGTCTAAACCATACCTGTTATCACCCATACCGCGCGTTTTCTATTATTGCTTCATCTAGACCGGGAGCCCCTTTATATGCGTATATGCACGTGAAGTCGATGTTTTGGTGGAGTTTATGACCGAAAACGAATGGGAAGGATTTTAGAATGTGTAAACCTGTAAATCATCATAAGCTCTATGGCTTGGAAGCTGCCATCCTTATGGCAGCAGCTGTTTGCAGGTAAGCTCGTTATTATTAGATGAAGGTCATTGGCTGTCATTTCCTGGTAAATCATCAATCCAGCATAATTAGTAGTATCATCATGAACAATGTACTTTGACCGCTGTATACCTAAGGAGAGAGATGCGGTGGCAACTTTGTATGATAATTCTTTGGAGAAGCGGACTCCATTCAAAAGCTTGATTGCAATCTGTTTTGGTGCGAAACATAGAAATAATTGAAACAATAGCTCGAGAATGCATACTTTGGAAAGACGGCCGAGCTATCACAGCTACAGATACGAAGCTTGAGCTTTGAGGCGGAACGTGCTTAGTAAGCCCCTTCCGAAACTCCAAAAACCGAACAGGGCGAATTTATCCGAAAATCCAGCGGGGCAATTATGTGTTTGGTGCCAGTACTCGTAGGGATGGATCATGGAAGTGAAGGAAAAAGGAGAGAAGTTACCTAAATTAACGCCACCTACTATTATTAATTGATGATACTATGTGCGTTATACCAATTGACAAGCCTGCATGAATTGACCTGCAATTCGAGTCTTGGGAGCTTGTCGGTAAGGTGATATAGTCATATTTAATTCAGTCATCGTCTTTCTCCTATTTTACAACTTCCTCAAGCAAACCTATGTGTATATCTACATATATATATTTATACGTACGCACGGCAATGCTAATGCTGATGCTGCAAATTGCTCAATCCGCTCCAGCCCATTTATGAGTACATCGCTACATACAAATAACAATGACGCTAACCATCAATATCGCTCATGTATGGTATCAATGCATTCTTCATCACTGTCCTTACAATTTTTTTTTTCTTTCTGTTGCTTATTTCTTGTAATCCTCTGGTCCAACCATCAACTCCGGTCTAACCAACTTATCAAAATCCTCTTCACTCAAAGCCTTCAACTCCATGGCTGATTCCTTTAAGGTCAATCCTTTCTTGTGGGCATTCTTGGCCACTTTGCTAGCCATATCGTAACCAATCTTTGGGTTTAGGCAGGTGACTAACATGAGACTATTGAGAGTTTTGTCAATAATTGCTATTTTCAGGCTCGAAGGAAGGAAAAGATGGGATTAATAAGTGAAATCGGTATACGCACGATTCTTTCAAGATACTTTGAATCTTCTCCTCATTGGCTTGTAGTCCAACCACCAAGTTCTTCTCAAAGCTTCTCATTCCGTCACTCAAGATTCGAATGCTGTGCAACAAGTTTCTAATGACCAATGGCTTGAAAACGTTCAACTCAAACTGGCCGTTCATACCACCAATGGTTGTAGCAGTACCGTTTCCAATGACCTGGGCGCAAACCATAGTGATGGCCTCGCATTGGGTTGGGTTGACTTTACCCGGCATGATCGAACTTCCAGGCTCGTTTTCTGGAAGGGCAAGCTCGCCGAGGCCACATCGAGGACCAGATCCAAGATATCGGATATCTTGGGCAATCTTGAAGAGGGATGAGGCAAGGGTGGTGAGGGATCCAGAAGCTTGAACAATGGCATCGTGAGCTGCAAGAGCTTCGAATTTGTTAGGTGCAGTAGTGAATTGTGTTCCGGTCATCTTAGTAACCTCTTCTGCGATAGCTTCTGCAAATCCCTTGAAAGTGTTAATACCAGTACCTACAGCAGTTCCTCCTTGCGCTAAGAGTCTAAGGTGAGGCAGGGATGATTCGACGCGCTCGATGCCATAATCAAGTTGTGCGACATATCCGGAAAACTCCTGGGCGAGGGTAAGAGGAGTTGCATCTTGCAAATGGGTTCGTCCAATCTTAATGATATTCTTTGCCTCAAATTCATCTACTTTAGCTTGGAGAGCATCTCGTAATGACTTAGTCGCAGGAAGGAGTTCATTCTCGATTTCGAGGACTGCAGCAATGTGCATAACAGTAGGGAAGGTATCGTTTGAAGAAGCTGACATGTTAACGTGATCGTTGGGGTGAACTGGTTTCTTGCTTCCCATGGTTCCGCCCAAAATTTCAATAGCTCGGTTCGAAATAACCTCATTAGCATTCATATTTGACTGGGTTCCAGAGCCGGTTTGCCAGACGACAAGAGGGAAATGGTCGAGCAATTTAAGATCTGCGACTTCCTTGGCAGCTTCTTGAATAGCTTTTCCGAGCTTTGGGTCTGTCGAAATTTCGTCAGCTCATGTCCAAATGTGTCTCTCCTTTCATGTAGGCGTACCTAGACCAAATTTCATGTTGACAGTTGCAGCCGCGCCCTTCAAAATACCAAAAGCCTTGATAATTGGAGGAGGCATGCGATCTTGAGGCTGGTTTATCTTGAAGTTCTCCAACGAACGCTCAGTCTGCGCTCCCCAATATTTGTCCGAGGGGACCTCGACGTTTCCAAAGGCATCGGATTCGGTTCTTGTTTGTGACATATTGTATGCAGTTGCGTGGAAATTTCTTTGCAGACGAGAAAACGAAGATTGCAAGCTCTTAAGCTTATATGATGAAGGAGAACTATTGAGGACCCGAGTGGCAGATTTGCTCGTGATGTTGACGGCATTCGCGGGGCAGGTGGAGGTGGTGAATGTACGAGCTATTGCCCGAGGCAACGGAGCTCGAAGTGTGGATGTCCGAAGCATTGTGACTGTTCAAAAAAACTACAAAATCTTACAAAATGGCAAATTGTGTTCAATTTCACTCAATTGAAATCTTGAGGATACCCGTACTTAAATCAATTGCAGTCAAGAAATGCTAAGAGTCAGTAGTGGGCACGGTGGCTCGAGGGTGGGTATCATCGCAGGTCAAAAAAATTATGGACTCCAAAAGTTTCACCCGCCATAAAAATCGTTCTTGGCGGGAACTATCGGCATCGGGATATTCCGGTAATTCCGCCGCGTTGAATATAGTTCTTACGTAATGACCATTCACTCGAGTACTTGAACAAAGTAAAGGAGACATACTGTATCGAGGACAACGATACAGTGCCTCAATTCCCTAAAGTTAGGAATGCCACGGCCCCAAACTGAGGTCCAAGTCTTTTGATTTTCATATTGTTATTTGTTATTTGTTATTCGCCTTGATCTCTTGTGTATTCCAGATAGCAAGGTGCTTGAGGCTTGAGCACAATGAAAGAATGAATAGCAGTTTATTGGTTGCCGCAACACATGGACAAATTCTCTAAAAGTCTGATTACGATTACATCGCCGCTGGTCTACTTTTCTTGAGAGATGTGCAGTATCGTATGCCTAGATTAGGGTTGTCAGTTCTATATCATTTTGTTCCGTTAGGGAAACCCTGAATTGCTACCAATTTCTAAAATAATCTTCTAGGCTCCCCAAAGCAATACCCTCAACAGGTTCCCTTCAGTGCATCAGTCCCTTCACTCCACTCCAGGAATTTGCTACAATGATTCACATTGCATTGCACCCCATTGTAGTGTCCTGACTACATCGCACATATATTCCGTATTGCCGATTACTAAGGTATTGTTTTGAGTCCTGAGATCAGGATATATGAACGGAAAAGTATACCTAGTAGATGAACAAATCGCGAGCTTTAAATTAAATTAAAGTTACGTAGGTCCATATAATTCACCCAAGATCAGTTGAATAACGGCAATCTAAACCCTCACTATCAAATGAAGACACAACTTCCGAGGTTTTGATCGTGCAAGACAACAGAGTGTAAGGATAAATACTGCTGTGGAATCAGCTTCACCATCACAACGTCAAATATTCTTAATTGGATACAGGTATTGTGTCACGGATTTTGCATTGATAGCTGTAGGATTAGAAGATATGCGTGGATATCAGCAAATATCCTTGAAGCAGTTACCTTTGATAACGGACTCATGTTTCATATGAATTCTACAAATTGTTTGAGAAATCGAGTCAAGTCAATGTAGTATATTGGTTGAGTCAACCCTGTGAAAAAAATAGGCTTGTGATAAACGTCATGGGATACGCGAGGCTAGGCCACAGTTGCTCACTGAGCCCATTACCTACCCGTGATATGTTTACATCTCAGCGACACCCTCTTTCACAGCAACCGCCATCTATCAACTCGTGCATAACAAAAATTGAGTTAAAACATGGCAAAGCTCGATGATCTACCGCAAGAGTTGAAGGAACTCATTCTCTGCGCGGCTCCTGACATTGCCACTCTTAAATGTCTCGCACATTTATCTCCACTATTCTACGATGCCTATCGTAGGAGGCGTGAGAATACATTCGCAACTGTTATTGCAACTGAGCTCACGCCGGTCATTCTCCATGAAGCACGGTATGTGGTACGAGCCTCCTTTGCTGAGCGTGGGCCATCATGGCTCAGCGACGTGGAGCAGCTACTGGGAGATTACACCCACGGAACTCATCTATGTATCGAGATTTCTGCCTGCTCTCCGCGATGTATCCATGGCATTTTTTCGATCGACGCTATCGCATCATCCGCTGACTGGAGACAAGATGAATCTGCTCTTACCTGCTCGGGCTGAGATGTGCAGAATTCAGCGTAGCATTTTGAGAATGGAAATATTTAGTATACTGTTCTCTGAAAGAGAAAACCGTCCTTCTTATCGTCTGAGCTGGCCCTCTCCCTGTGAAGCACTCGACAACCTCTTCCTCTCTAAGTTTGAGCTTCGGATTCCTGTACGAGGTGATGAATGAAAATTCGGAATATGATCAAGTCCTCCTGTTAGAAGAGGCTATCGAGTATAAGGTGTTTCGCGCCCCCGTAGACTTCCTCTCGGATACCCTGGACGGATTCCTTCACCCGCGTGACATGCGAATCATGCAAGATATCGAATTTCGGAAAACTGTACTAGAGTCACAACCTATAGGGAATGAGAGACCAAATCAAGCATGGCTTTAGTCTATTCAACAATGGGATCCCGCCTTAGATGGAGAGACCTATGTTTCCTGTCGCAATAGAAGAGATTGTTCAAGATCGTGGGGTTACGTAATATGGGATAGCTCAAGGTTGGAGTCACTAGGGATCATGAACTGCAAGATTCAGGATATGCAGCCACACAGGCCAAAAGCAATTCAAGAGCCATTATTGACAGATCGTCCGAAGACGAATGGAGGCTGATATTTGAGCTGAATGTGAATATATAGAAGCGAAAACTTCTTTAAATAAAGCCTCATTATTTATTAGTTACGTGGATGTTCATTTACTCCAGTTTGAGAGAATGAAAAGAGATTTATAGAACTTGGAACTTTTCTTTTGCAGTACTAACACTGGTGAAATTTCAAACAGCTGCCTTAATCATTAGACTTTCCACCAAGTCTCTCGAATGCCACCTTCTTGCTCACCCCCTCTTGTCCGTCAACAGGTCTGCTAACCCATAGAAAACAAAGTTCTGCATTTCCTTCCCACAAGCGGCCCGGAAGCTCGATATCAAAGAAATCAATGCCGGATAGCAGCCCAAAATAGGAAGGTTGAAATGATACAGCATAGCTGTTGCGACAGAGGTAGAGTAGAACAAGCCGGAGACAATTCACAGTGTTAAAACCGGCCCATGACAAAGTTGAGAGATGAAACGAGGAACAAAAGCGCTCTGCTTTAACTCAAAGGTAGCAATAGGCGAATGTTTGTTGTGGCTTGACAGAAAACACAAAATGAAGTATTCGTAGGCTGCCAAGGTTGTTGATGAGCTTGCACAGTACGATTCCTCAGCACGACACATCGTTCCAACAAACAAGTGAAGATTTCGATGACTTTGAGTGAAGTATTCTAGACGTGATCACAAACTTCAGGGTACTGACTGCATGATTCCCTCTGGAAAATAAATGCAAATCAAGCCAGGGGCTTTCGCACTCTGATAGGTCCAACCACATTTGCTAATCCGGCTCCAAGATCTCCTTCAAGCACAACGCCTTTCTGTAAGATTTCAACGTCATTGTTCTCTCGCATCGTAAACAAAATTGATCGAATATCTGGCATGGCTTCGCGCCAGCAAGAATAACCCAATACTTGAAGCTCCGGATGAGTAAGCGCTCGAGCGACTTCAGAGGGACAGAAAGTTTTAGGTGGTTGGCGTGATGCTAGAAAGTGGTTTATATGAGGTTCAATTATTGAAATAGAATCACAATGTGTAGCGTCATCCATCGGAAAAGCAGAGTTATATCTAATGATTATTATCAATCGAAATATTCGGCATCAAAGATCTCGAGCTTTCAAGGTTGATAAAGACTACGGAAAGCCTTGGCGCAATTAGCCGAAGCCAAATCTGAAACCATCTTCTACAAACGACACGAAGAGATTGTTCTTAGCATGATTGATAACGATAAATTGAGATTATTCGCTGTTGTGTAAATGAATTTTTACATTCTATCATTTAGCTTCTTTCTTCATTCAAGTACTATGAATAAGTGGCCTACCTGGCCAGTTCATGGGTATCATCGTGTACAGAGTTCCCCTATACCCAACCGTGCCCAAAGCGCCCTTCGTCTCTACCCTCCCTTTTATGATCATTTTATACAGTATTCTGGTACATAAACACACCCAATATCCGTTGCGCCAATGCTACACCACTGCCCCAAGTGGGTTAATAACGCCTCTGAAACCCCCAATGCAAACTCCATACCCAGCCGCAGGTAATATTACGCGTTAAGCTCCAATTGCTAGACATGAATCTAGTACCATATCCAATGCAGCTCGATCTTGATATTCGGCCCCTTCCCACCCCCAATCTTCGATATCACTTAGCGGTTCGTCTATCGCGTGCCCGTTGACGCCATTAGTTAATCCGTTGACTTCGAGACCTCCCATCTCGATGTCGCCATCTTCATCCTCAGCAATAATTCTTCCTTGAGGCCCAAGCCGTGTGAATGCGTTCCAATCTTCTAGCTCGCCTTCTTGGTATCCGAACATAATTTGCTGGACAACGACTGGCATTTGCCCTAAGCCACAATCGGAAATCTCAAGTGCGGTTCGTACATCAGCCATGCCTAGGGGACCTCGCTCACTTGCTGCGCGGGCCTCGGTGGGTAATAAGCCGTTTTTGTCTCGAAGGATCTCGTTGCGCAACGAGGACTCTTCCTCCCTTTCTAGCTGCCTGCGATACTTGTGCGTTTGTACCCAGGAGGAACCCCCGCCTGTTCCAGCACTGCCCGTAGATCCAGGTCCATTGCTTCTCGTTTTGCCGAATATCGATGATAAGACCTCTTTAATAAACGTTTCTGTTGCCACAGACATGAATTGAGCTGCATCTTGGACATGGCCATTGACTAATCCTGTCTCGTAGCATATGGGAAGCATTCGCGATTCGATAGTTGTCATGTCAGGAAACTCTCCTGATTCCGAGGCTAGAGGTAAAGCATATCTTTTTCGAATTTCCAAATCCCAATCTTGAATAACATGTAAATACTATTAAACTTGCCAAGTTGGGTGGTTATGCATAACTTACTAGTTTTATTCAGACCACCAGCACTAGCAGGCACAATCTCAGGCTGTCGTGCAGGCTTCGGTCGGCGATGCTCGGTTAGCATTGTCGCAAATGCATCGAACGGGTCGAACTACAAAGCAATTTAGCAGAGATTCCTAATAACTCCATATAAGCAAAAGAAATCTCACATCATTTTGAGAAAGGTCCTTCAGCCTTCTTCTATCACGACTCGGTAGTTGCATAACTTCTGTCTTAAGTCTTTGTTCCGCCGCATCGCCGCTAACCGGCTTGCTCCCAGCTCCTGTTGTAGGTTTATCATTTGCGCTGACCCAGCTTGCCACGCCCTGGTCAGGCATTTCACGAGTTGTGTTCGCATAAATGGCAGATATGAGTTGATTGTGAAGATGTTCGATTTCGCCAGTATTTGTTATGAGGAAATGATCAATTCGGGATGAAAGTTCAATTTGGTTCATTTGCCCTGAAACAAAGGATTAACATAATGCTAACACGCGTAATTATCGCTCCCCACAAGAGACGATGACTTTCATCACATACCCATGAGAAACAAGCCAATTGAATCTTTGTATATCCCAAAATTCTCGCCAATGGCAGACTTGACTGCCGTATACAACGGTTCAAGGTCGATGCGCGGCGGAACATGATTGAACTTTGCAGATTTTTGTACCGGTGTTGTCGCAGTAAGTGATTTGTTAGGTAGAACAGGAGTTGGACTCTTGTTCGTCACACTAGAGCGACTCAAGGCCGCTGGATCAATGTCGGGCATGATGACTGTAGGAGCTATTCAGGCTCGCGCGACCACGCTCTCAAGGCGCGAAAACCTTCAATTTTCTATCGCCCATAAATAGAGCAGTAGCGGAAGAATTTGATAACACAAATTCAAAATAAGAACTGTTGATTTGATGGCGTGGTTGATGATTGAATGATGGTCGACTCGGGGCATAACATAGAGGTGACGTTGGGAGAGTCAGTTGGCCTTGTAGCCTTATGTAAGAAATCTGGAGTTCTAGGGTAACCTACGAGCCTACCTCCCTTGTACTGTCACTAAATCAAGTCAAACCCCTCAAAATTGAAGTAAATAAATCATCGCGTATGATCCTTATCAACGCGTCCACTCTTTTGATCAACTCTCATGAAGGTTAACGAATATATGTTTCTCTGAAGATTAAGATAAAGTCGCAGATATTCAATTATCGCAACAATGCAATTATGTCCTCACGAAGTACTCGTATCTCCACTGCTATTGATAGCTTAGTGCGCCGATTTCAAGTAGATATTCCTGGAGAAGATCCTGCAGACGCAGAGGAAAGAGAAAGCAATGCTACCGACTTTGTGCGGGAAATTTTGGGAAGGTATTGACTTTGGAAACTGTGCGCAGTATTATGGAATGCTGATTTTGCAATTTACGTAGCTCAAAAGCAACTGCTGTTGTCGCAGATGTAAATCAAGCTTCGGATTTGATAAAGAAACGATTAATACAAACAAACCCAAGTCCTAATGAAGCTTTACGATTTACAAACCTATATAGCCGGCTCCTCTCCATACCGGTCATTACACAAAAATGGGCAGTGCTTTACTTTCTGTATCAACTAGGCGACCAAGAGCAACTCAGACCTTCTGGACTGACGAGCCCTTTTATGAGTCCAGTAAATAAGAAGAAATCTAAGAGACCTGCCGAGGACCAAGATGCTGCCAGCGCTGCTCCTCTTCGAGATGTTCGTCGAAACATTCAAACAGATGGGACTTTTGACTCTCAAAGCCAAACATCGCGAGAAGAAAGAGAATTCGACGATGCTTTTGCGCCTTCTGGATTGAGGAAGTTACCGGAACGAGAAGGGGGCCAGAGAGATAGGAAGGAGGAAGAACAGGTATTTGCGAAGACACCAGGTAGCCAGCGTGAGGGTGTCGCATTGAAGACGGCTCTATTGGCTGAAAATTATGTCGAAATTGATCCCCCGGAAACCGCACTACTTAGGGACTTGCCATTCACATTACAAGGCCTATCGTCCTCAAATTTACCATTTGATGCCCAATCAAGCCTCAGACTACCCGATACTTTGCCTGTGCCAATAATCTCGATTCTCCATACATTAGCTGAGCCATCGCTATTATACAGAAGTTTATCTGGGTTTGTGCAGACAAGCGACGGCGGTCTCCTAGGACAGAGTTTGCGAGCCGCTATTGCAGGAGAGCTTAGGTCATATCTTGGACTAGTAGCAACGCTAGAAGGTCAAATCCGACGAGCACTTTCATCGTTAGACGAGAATGAACCAAGAGGAGGTGTTGGAAAGGCAGGGGTCACTCTTAAGAGATGCGTAGTGTGGACCCGAGAAGCGACGATGGGCTTGAGATTGATGAGCCTGATTAGTGAGGAATCGAAAAGCAAAAAGGGTGGTCAACTCATCACGTTGATCCATGGATTTTCATCATCGCATGGGGATCCAATGGTAGGAGCTTTCGCCGAACGATTGTTGATTCATGTTACTCGGCCGTTTTATGATATGCTTCGACATTGGATATATGACGGAGAATTATCCGATCCATACCATGAATTTTTTGTTTCGGAACAGGATCCCAATGCGATTCAGGAGGCCCAAGATGGCAGAAGTAGAGGAGGCGCTAGCAGTGTATGGGAGGACAAATACAAACTTAATGAAGATATGGTACCGAGTATCATCACCCAGGACTTTGCTCAAAAGGTCTTCCTAATTGGTAAATCCTTGAACTTTATCCGTTATGGTTGCGGGGATTCTCAATGGGTGGAAGAGTACTCGAAAGATGCTTCGAAAGAACTACGGTACGGTGATACTGCGACTTTAGAGACATGGATCGATGAGGCTTATAAGACGACTATGGCCCGACTAATCCACTTGATGTCAGAGAAGTTCCATCTGTTCGAACATCTCAAGGCTCTTAAAAATTATATCCTCCTAGGGCAAGGAGATTTCATCGCTCTACTCATGGAATCTCTTGCATCAAATCTTGATCGTCCGGCAGGCGCTCAATATCGTCATACTCTCACCGCTCAACTTGAGCACGCTATTCGTGGCTCTAATGCGCAATATGATTCGCCCGAGGTTCTCCGCCGTCTCGACGCCCGTATGTTACAACTTTCGCACGGTGATATAGGTTGGGATTGTTTCACCCTTGAATACAAAATTGATGCTCCTGTCGATGTCGTTGTAACGGAATGGGGTAATCGACAATACCTCAAAGTATTCAACTTCCTATGGCGCATCAAGCGTGTTGAATTTGCCTTGTCGACTACCTGGCGTAAATGCATGACTGGCGCCCGCGGCGTCTTACTTGGATCTCCTGATCCCGCCTTCCATCAATCATGGAAACAAACTCGCGGTGTCCTTGCAGAGATGATTCATTTTATCGCACAACTACAATACTATATCCTCTTTGAAGTTATCGAGTCTTCTTGGGATGAGCTTCAATCTGCTATCCACAAAGATGGTTGCACACTTGACGATCTTATCAAAGCGCATACTAAATACCTCAACGCCATCACACACAAAGGTCTGCTAGGCGCCAAGAAAAAGCATTCAAATGATCTTGATGATAATACGTTCATGGTTCAATTAGGCGAGATTCTTAGATTAATGCTCTCATACCGCGATGCAGTTGATGGCCTCTATTCCTTCAGCGTCACCGAATACTCAAAACGTCAAAACGCCAATTCTCCATCCATCCCGCGCCCAAGCACATCTACCTCCTCTCGACCCGGAACTCGCTTCGATGATTATCCTCCATCTAGATCACCATTCGAGAACCCTAATCCTGCACTTCTAAACCTCAATCTTTCGAATATTCAAGGTGAAGAAGAAGAATTCCCCTTATTAGCGGAGAGATTAAGTGGGCTGGGAACGCAATTTAAAACGAGGATTTCGCTATTGCTCGGCGATTTGGCATATCAGCCAGACACAGACATGAGGTTCTTAGGTGTGGTAATGAATTTTAATGACGTATATACGGGAGTTAGGCGGAAGAGTGCCCGAGAAAGGGAGCGAGAAAGAGACAAGGGGAAGGGCAAAGCTAGAGAAGGGAGATCTGGCGAGTCGAGTGCTAGGGAAAGATAATTGCATTGTGTTTAGTACTCGGCATTAGAAGAATGAGTAAAGATGCGTGAAGAAAAGGGGCGTATTGTATTTCCATTGTCTCTTTTCGCGTAGCATGGCATGACATATTAGGTCGGTTCGATAAGGATACCAATGAATGATGGATGGGTGGAATGCAGATTGGCTGCTTGTGGCGTTGGTCTGTCGATATAGGATGATGAATATACAATTCTTTTTTACACATGTCTGATTTTTGCTTCTCGTCCCACTCCCTACTCTCAATGTGCACGCGTATACTTCATCATAGGTACCCAAATAGTGCCTCTGATTTTCTTCATCTTGTCTTTACCCCGCACTATCTGATTCCCTCCCATCCCATCCTATCCCATCTTCTCTCCTCTCCTCTCCTCTCCTCCCTCCCCTCCCTTCTCAAACCAGTAGTCAACCCCCCAAGTCCCACCAACACCCAAAAAACCATCTCACCGAACGCCCATCCAAATTCCCCTCAGCACATCACACATTCGCAAAACGATACGGCGACAACGCTAGCACACTACCACTAGATACCACCTACTCACATGTAAATAAGCTAGGTAACCCCAAACTTCTAGCGACCAAATCAAATCATATCAAATCATAATACCCGGAACCATAAATCCATCATGAAGTCACAGGGAAGAGTGTGGATAAGCTTTCGAGTCTTGATGCACATTAGAGTAATAGTGAGCTATTGTGATTGAATGGCCACTAATCCGATCTCGAGTAGATTTAATTTTTTATTAGTGTTTCGACTCCCTAATATCCGAAAGGAATACACTTCAGAGATGCCCATGAGTTCTGTGGGGAATATGGTAGGCCGAAGGAACGCAAAAGGGTGGGTATGGACCGAGCGAATGAAAGCTTTCAAGCGTTGGTATATTCCCTGATCCATTTCGTGTACTCCTACACTTGCTCACTTATTACACGCACATGATTCACGGATGGGTGTTATGTATAAACTTGATATCATATTCGTTTGCATTTTCATTCGTCCTTGCCTTCCTTCCTAACCTCCCAATTTTGATTCTCCCAATCTCCATTCCTTCTCAATTCATCCTATCTTACCAAATCCAGACAGGGCTCGTCCATTCCCATTCCATCATCCCTTCCCAACCAATGCCTTTTGAATTCCCCATTATCCCGTCCACTGCTCTCTACCCATCATCTTTCCCTTTCCTTATGTTAAACAGAGCACAATTGCCCAAAGAAAAACGCCATGCGTGCTATATACCCATAAAAGCCTTGATACGAGACCCTTGAGATACCAGAGTCTAAATCCAACGCAGAAGATGAGTGCAATAATCAAGAATGCAAGAAAATGCAAAAGGTATTTGAAATCAAGCAGCCACCAGATATATCCTATCTTAATCGTACAAAATAATACAACACATTATGTTATCTCGTTCCTGCTCGCACCGACCTATCGCCGCCTATACTTATATCGAGTTCAGATTTGTTTATCAATGCCTTCTCCTTCTAGAGCTTGGGGCCCCCAAGTCAATGTTCTTCATTTCCTCTAACAGCGCCCACGCATCCCCACCTCCACCTCCTCTCCCTGCACCACTACTAGCCGGAGCCGGTAATGCCATTGGAATTTTCGCTGGTACGACTGGCCCAACCGCCCCTCTATATCCACCTCCAGGGCTACTTCCATACTGGTAACCATTTGACTGATAACTGTCATGAGAATACTCAGCCGTTGAGGGTCTCTGCATTGACGTTCTACTAGATGCGTAAGTTGGTTCTTTGTAGATCGGTACATTTGGGGACGAATGATATGCAGGTTGTGCCGACATGCGATTTGACTTCTTTTGGAGTTTCCTATGAGCGGTAGCTGGAGGATTATCAGGAATGCCGCCGCTGAAGTAAATTGGGGAAGAGACGGCCATTGACTGAGGCCTTCCTGCTTGACGTAATTGCTTACGACCATTTGATGCCATTGGATGTTCTGCTGGTGGAGGTCGATAATTGCGATCTGGCATTTGCGAAGCGTATTTTGGTCCCTTTTGTTCAAGGAGCGGTGCATAATTAGATTCGGGGATGTGATCACTTGGATCAATTTCCCTACCATCATAAGTAATGATTTTGGCATCGGGATCATCTTTAGGATCATAAGCAGCGCTTAGAGACGTTGCAGATTTTGATCCTGTCAGACTTGGATTGAAAACATCATATGAATCTGGCCCGAATGCAATGCCTGATAATCTTCGAGGCTCCGGAGCAGGACTGACCGGTTTTCGCATGACTGCTGGATTAGGAGAGGTACCTCTTCTGTTCATAGGATTAGGTGAAGCACCTCTTCTATCCATAGGTGGATTGGGAGATGCGCCTCTTCTATCCATTGGATTGGGAGATACGCCTCTTCGATCCATAGGGTTAGGCGAATTTCCTCGTCTATCCATTGCGGGATTAGGCGACGTACCCCTAGGCTTTACTGGCACCATAGCTGTAGACGCAGCGTATCGATTTTGGCGATCGTCATATGCTGCTTGTGGTGAGTATGGGACAACAGCCGAATTATCATGATACGGAAGGGGTATTGGCTGTTGAATCTGTTGTGGCTGATGTCTTGGAATCTCTTGATATCTTCCTCGCTGCGAAGACGCAGGGTTTTGGCTATAACTTGCTCGTTTTTCGTTATAAATCCGATCCGAGATTTCCTTTGCAATGATTGGATCCATTCCCGGTACCAAAGTTGGTGGCATCTCAGGCAAACCATAGTCTCCATTAGTATTCTGCACACCTACGGAATGGCTTCTGTCTTGGCGGGATGATGGGAGTTGGCCATAAGAGTTTCTTGAGGTTACAGAAGCGCCATCTCTGACAGAAGACATGGAACTGGATGTCGGATAGCCACCTGAGCTATTCGAATGTTGATGACTCGGGGCAGTTGTTGCAATACTATTGCGACTAGGGCGATGTCGTAAATTTAATGGTGCCGGTACTTGGTCATACATCCCTTCAGCTGGGTGTTGCATAGCACCTGGTGCACTGCCTCTATGCGGTATAACAGTCTGATAACTGTTCGGTCCTGGTCCTGGTCCTGGAGCTGGTGTGGGTGGGGCATCCTCGACAGTTGGTTGCATGTCTTCATAGCTGGGATTATATCTCAAATCTCTCGAATCGTAAGAGTTCTTTCGGGGTGGGTAAGGGTTTCCATTTCCGGACCTTCGGAATTGGTCATCGTTCTTTGGTGGGTTATAGGCCTGGTAAGCTGAAGTGGGTTGTGTATGAGCAGGCATTGAGTTGCGGTGCATATCATCCATGGAAGTGTTATATGGATTGGAATTTCCCCGACTGACTGGACGACCATGAACAGCCTTGGGTTGCGCGAGAGCTGGCACCGAGCTCACGTGTCTGCTTGCATGAGCCGGAGGAGGTGGCGGAGGACCAGGGCTCATCGGAAGTTCATATGGACCTGGCTGCTGAGGCTCATATGTTAGCATGCGAGATCCTCCATATCTATCGCGAGGATCCGCTTCATGGGCCGCGTATTGATTCATATCATGACCGTTTTCGTAATCATTTCTCAACATTGGATCGTGAATCTCATATCTATCGTTATTCCGCATTGATTGGGAACTTGGTGGTGCTGCAACCATCATGTCTTGGGGTGCTCCGTATGGGGTCGATCCTGGACTAATATCATATCCTTGGGGTTGGTTATATCGGGCCGAAGGTGCGTTGTATTCCACTCTTTGTACAGGCGATTGGTCCTGAACAAATCCGTTCTGGTATCCACGCGGTGGCGTTTGCGCGTGCTCCTGACCAACAATAGGAGAATGATAACCACGCTGCGCTTGCATTTGATCAGACATGGCAGCAGAACTTGGATATCCACGAGGCGAAGGCTGATCCTGAATTACCGGTGGATTTGCATATCCTCGAGGGACATGATCTGGCATACCATTCGGAGACATCTTATATCCTTGCGGCAGTGTCTGAATGTGATCTGGCATTCCAGTCGGTGGGTTTTGGTAGCCTCGAGGTGGGGTTTGGACATGATCTGGTATCGCAGAAGGAGAGTCTCTATATCCACGAGTAGGGGTCATTTGCATATGGTCTACTGTAGATGGGGCCTGATATCCTCGTGGAGGAGTATGAACAAGTTCAGCAGGATGTGGTACCGCAGTAGGGATCGGAGCTGGCGCCGGTGCTGCCACAGGAGGTTGCGCTGGAGCTCCAGTAATTGGATCGGTTGGTAAAGGCCGCCTCTTAACAATTGGTTTCACCCCTAATTGTCTTGGCCCACCAACTCCTTCTCTCAAACTCCCACTTCCACTTCCGCTTCCACTCACACTTCCGAACTCCGTTATGGATTGCACAGATGTAGATGGAGTAATTGTCGATGAATTTTGTTTGGGTTCCTTCTTCTCTGGTTTCTCTGGCTTGGGTCTTTTATCATAATATGTGATCTCGACCCTAATCTCTCCCGCATATTTCCCCTTGAAGTTTAAGTTATGCCATATATCACTTTGTCCCCCTCCAGCAACAATGACATCTTGTAAATTAACCCAAGTCTCTCCTATCAAATCTGTTCTCTTGTCGTCATTAAATACTGAGACCTTCAATTGATAGTAATCCGGCGAATCGTGGACAGTAAATCGTAGCTCTTGATCCCTAGATAGCTTCGTCAGTAATGAAGTAGACATAAATTCCTCATTGAGCACTTACCATCGAGGGGTTTGTCCACCTCTCTTATCTGTCTCCGTTTTTTTTGCTTCCTTTCCCAGACGAGCTGCACAATAAGGATCTTGTTTTCCAATTGTCTTTCTGTTTGGTAGATTCTTGGCTCGATCAACGATAACAACCAGAGTACCAATTACTGGACCATCAACCGTCATATCCGAGAAGATTCCAGCGGTATGCATGCCCGCCATTTTGAGTTTCGTCGCCATGATGAAGAAAGAGAGTAAGGTATTATTAATGCTTCAAAGAAAGTAAGACTATATTATAATCCAATGATGATTTATTATATGGTAATTCTCGAGGTCGAGGTCGTGGTTGAGGTTGTGTTCTCCTAGTTGTAAAGCTGATCTCGGTCTCGAGAGTGTATAATAACTTCCAAGTTCTTTCTTTGGTTTTTCTTTGGTTCTTCTTTGGTTCTTCTTTCGTTCTTCTTTCGTTCTCTCTCTCTTTCTTTCTTTCTTTCTTTCTTCCCTCACCAGCTCTAGCTGAGCATTGTAATTTGGGAATTCCTCAACTGATATTCCAAAGTCGAACGCCGAGTAGGTACGAAATCGCGTTAGAACCCTCGCATCTCAGACCGTTCCATGCAGCATAAATCATAAAAAAGCTGACACGCCAGAAATATTAAAGAATTGATTTGAGAAAAGAGAAATGGGATCCGTTTTGATTGGAATGAAGCGGGTCTACGGTGGATTAATTCGAAAGTTGTTCAAAATGTCACCTCTCATCTGTGTGCAAGGCGTGAGAAAGTGTTAAAGGGAGTGGCTGAAATCGTGGAGAAAGAATGGTGAAGGCTGGTGTTATCCTTGTAACACCCTCGTTACTTTGCTGTACCAAGGGATTGTTTTTGAAGAAAGAAAGAAATTTGACATTCACTCGTTGAATATAATTGAATACAGATGATGTATTGCATTACGCGTTTTGAATCTATACATTCTATTCAATGGAGATGTAGGTAGCTAGTCAGCTCATGAATGACATTGGACATGTTTTTGTTTACATTGGTTGATCAGCTAACGATCGTGGTTTTGATATCACACTCTTCAATCCTCACTCTTCTCCCGTCTCCCATGGCCCATCTGCCCAGGAACCAGATAGAGATGTCCTATCGTATTATCGTAGATTTTGCACTGATGACGAAAATCGGCACCTTACCTACCTAGGTTTAATAATGTTTGCATGTACATAATTCAATCCCTGTTGAGAATCCCCTCCTCGACGGAGGATGCCTTTCTCTGTACGATGTATAAAATTTAATCCTTGCTCCAAGGTTCTAAGGTTTCCCTTACGATCCAGGTATACCATCCGTCGGCCGAGAAAAAAGGAATAAAAATAGATCTCATCCTTCATTTGTTGACGGCGTCACGAACATTCTCCAGTGGCTAATGAGAGTGGCTGGAGTGACTATCACTCAAACTCTGTCAAAATGTCCGATGATGGCGAAATGATTGTGTTATCGATCGGAAAATCATTTGAGATGGTGGAGTCTGGTGATGCAGGTACCGAGATTCTAGCTCTATTCTCAGATCTATATCAGATCTATAACACCCAATAATGGTCTCATCTTAATTATAAAATGATGAGGTCGAACAATTTTCGTCGTATCAAGGTTAACGTGGTTTGTTTGTTATTGACGAACAATCTTATCAATCCGGCAACGTGCGGCAAGGCTGTTGCTCGTACGTGGTAATTAGCCGCCGCTCTGCATTCTTCTTCGCTTAATCTCCGAATACCGACCAGAACCTAGTATTGAAACCAAGCTTATTACTTTATTACCTTTCTTATCTGATCCTCTCCTCTCCATACATCATCAAGAAATAATAAATGTGCTACAGATCTGTACAACTCTCTTTCATCACACTTTCAACCTAAAATCCCCTAACCAACCTCTCCACTCTTCACTCTCTACCCATCGCCCAACTCCACCCTTACGTCAATCCATCACACATCAACACATCATGTATTCCATCGCGCCCTCTCCCACCCCCACACTTTTATCAGACCCAGTGACCTCCACCCCACCAGACACTTCCGCTCCATCAATCTTCCGCTACATCATCGGGTTCCTCCTCATCGGTGTCGCCTGGGGCTTCACAACCCCATTCATCCGAGCCGCCGCGCGAACTCACCAACCGCCCTCTCACCCCATTCTCTCATCTCCCTCGGTTACCAAATCTTTCATCAAATCTAAGTTATATGGCGCTTTCTTTGGAGTGGTGGATCTTTTGAGAAACCCTAGATATGCGATTCCATTGGTGATCAATTTGACGGGGAGTATTTGGTTTTTCTTGTTAATCGGCCAGGCTGGTGAGTTTTGTTTCTCTTTGTTTCTTTCATGTCGATCCTGAAGGAAAGAAGATGGAGAGAAGTGTGATATGCGTACCTATAGTGATGACGTAGATAATGTTAACGATATATGTAGAACTCTCCCTAACAGTTCCCATCACAAATTCTCTGGCTTTTCTCTTCACAGTATTAGGAGAGTGGTGGGTGGAAAGAAAAGTAATCAGTCGCGGTAATTCCTCTCGTCCTTTTCCCTTACATCCCCATCAATACTGTTGATCGGAGTCAATATTCAAGAAATGTGGCTTGGACCCCGAGTACGAAAGCTAATATATCGATAGATACCTGGATTGGTATGATCTTGTCGTTATGCGGTATTGCGCTCTGTGTCCATAGTAAGACGGGATGAGCCTTCCTTGGGAGTTATTTTTGGATCACATTCTCGGGAGTGGGGGATTTGATATTCGATAATGGATATCGAGGAAGGATCATATGAACGAAGAAATCGATCATGTGAGGTTTCTGGAAGTTGTATACATATTTGATTTTGCCGCCGTACGAGGCTGGTATATTCTCTTTGCTTACAAACTGATGTAAAGGGCGTAGTAGGATCCATTTTATTGGATACTAGCGAGTTTGAATAGGCAGATGTCACTAATGTCACATAAAACATTCGACATGTCTCAATTTCTTGATTCAAATTTTATAAGTTAACTTTAGAAACACTAGCACAGCTCTATGCTCTAAAACTGAACTACCTCTCGTCTAATCCCGTAAAGTGAGTAAGTAAGTAGCCAAAGAAACCCTAACCACCAGGGCCAGGGGAAAACTGATGTGTGCGCCATTCCATGCCCACCGCCAACCATTTTAAGTGTAAGGAAATTCAAAGCCAAGCCATGCCATGCCAATCCAATCCAATCGCCCAAATAATCCCAATTCCATAAGAGCCATCAAACACTACCAAATCCATCTTCCTGTACAATAGTATTACAGCCCTCCTTTCATCCGATTCACCCCGTCCCTCCTCTCCCGACTCAACCTCGGCAGTCACATCTCCTCTTCCCGTCCACGTGGTTCGATTCCGAACACTGACAGCTTAACGTCTAGCCCTAACCCATCTCTGTACATGTCTCAAGCTCGGATCTTCTTGCGTCCAGCGCCCCATCCCATAATCGGACGACCTTAGATCCGAGTAGATGGCCTCATCTGTGATTGATACCAATTCCTATTTCCCAAATCAGTACGCGTAAAAATCGATAATACCAAATGATCAAAAGTTGGCAGCATCCTTGCTTGTTCGCACAAGAACCGGAAGTGGGGAGCGGCTCGGAGGCTCGGAGTGGAGAATTGAAAGAAAAAAAAACCCTTTGACTTACTGCTCGGAGCTGCACATCGCATGCGTTCAATTGATCCGTGTGCCCGGTATGAGGTCTCTGGCCCTGCAACACTTGATCTCTGTAACTGATCCAACGCTGTGCCGCACCTTGGCGAAGGTAGATCTTTTGAGCCTCGTGACGGCGAGAAAACGCATCAAGGAGTACCCTTCTTGCTGTTAGTATGGAAAATCATGAAAGACCCAATCGTGCCGTTTGATGGTAGGGAGAGACATACTGTTGCAATTCTGCTTTAGATTGCTCATCTGCACCACCGCGAACTCGTGGGACTCGAGTTTCAGCAGCACAGTTTAGGATATGCTGGCCATCTAAGGAGCATTGACGAAGAGCGGCATATCCTTCAGTATAGTAATCATCCATGTTTGACGGGTCGGCAGGAGCAGCAGCGATGTAGTATTGAAGAGTGCGGAAGTCGGAGAGAAGGTCTGCTACCCGAGCAGTCCTTTGATCGTTCACTGGTGAATGTGTAAGTCATTGGAGTCAGTTGAGTCTCATCCGTCCCGAGTGCACTGTAGGGACGAGCACAAGTAACGGTCTTGTGTGGTAGGAACATAAATGACTTACATCCATCGGCCATTGTGTATGCGGATTTGAGTGTTTGAAACTGCTGCAACTTCAAAGAACGGGAGAATGGACACTAGAATGACTTGCTAACTGGTATGAAGTGGAGACGGGAGACAATGAGGAACTGAATAAAAGACTGTGCCGTTGATGTCTTGGAAAGATGAAGCCATCTCGGCCGTTTATGAAGCTTTTCAAATCATAGTTGACTAGATAAGACGTTGACTCTGAAAATTGATCATCCACTTTGAGTCTCAACGTGGCTGGCTAACGGGAGGATACCTCAGCCAGGCAAAGCCAATTCTTTGATTCCATTGGAAATATTAGATACCATTGAGTTACTCTCACTGTATAGAAAGCCATTTGTGCTCCACAACTAAGTCTGATACTAATGATACGGGAGTGACGAGCTCAAAGCTAGTTTAAACCCTACAGAGCTGTAAGGATGTAAGGATGCAAGGGTACTAAGCTATTGTGGTATTTCTCAGAATGTGCATGACGGCAGCGATTTGCGATATGTCCAAGGGTTCAGATTAGATGGTTCGAGATAGGTTTTGGAATAGTATTGTGTAATGGGTGTATCTTAGATTCTTAGAGGAAGAGCGTAGGGATTGAAACGTGGGAACGAGTGGTGGAGGATGATGGGAGGATTAGATGAGAGGTAGATTGTGGGTAATTGATATGGGTCCCCTGTGTGATGTGCAATCAAATCTATCTATGTGACTTCCGTATGCGTGGTATGTGGATAATGATTTGGGATTCCTTTTGGGTTTTCTTGGTAAAGGAAGCAAAGTAAAAAATGAGCTAAAAAGATTGATGCTACACCTCGGTACCTGTCCGCTCGCGTGGGAACAAGGATAAAATATTCAGCCTTCACTAGGTTTTGACCCGTCAAATCATCTAATCCACTAATAATCTTACAAAAAAGCCATCAGAGCAAAAACCATGTCAGTTCAAGGCTCAAATGTGTATTGCCATCGAATTTTTCAACCAATGGGAGACCTCGGATCCAGATCATAATATCGTTATAGCTGAAGTTGTAGAAAGCATCTCACTCACATTGGACAAGCGGTGACTGCGCCAGGTACCAACCATATCGACGCATATGTATTATTACATACCACACCACGCTATTCTATACACATACCCAGGAGAATCTTCTAGCTCCTGAACACAGACTACAGCAGATCATCTGGGGGCCATACGATCTTAACCCAGTACCAAGATGTGATTTTTTTGGGAGATACTCCTATCACCGCATCTCAATATTCCATATCCGTAGCTTGGAAACTCCAATAGACCCATTTGGGGACTCCACCCCACTACTCTTTTTGGATCCTCAATACTCAATATTTGCTATTCCCTGTCTTGCATTTTGTTTGAGGTGCGAGATGATTGATGATTCGATCAATCCCAAAACTATATTTCCGGATAGGGCTGCGTAATGCTAGATCATTGATGCTGCAGTAAAGTGATGTTCTCCTGGATCTAGTCAGATCATCCGGAGACTATCATGACACTGTCACCGAAGGTATGGGTCGTCCATTTTTCAGTCCAGCAGTGATCAAGCCACAATATGGCTATGTTTCCGTTTCGTTTCTTTTTTTCTTCGGTGTACACATGTTGCACCAAAATTGACGAGGTGACAAAAGATATGTGGCTTTCTCGCCTACCATTGCTCAGTATCAAATGCAGATTGGTATCATAAATTGAATTTCATAGCAATAGTATTTCTTGATCAGTCATTCGCCGGTAATACCGAACGTATTTCATAGTTGCCTCATCTGGATATCTTGCCTCATCTCTTTACTCATGATCGGCAACTAGTCTTTTTCTGCGATTGCCTGTAACCTCTCATCGATCTCCTCTTCAGTCAAAGCCCTGAAGCCCGGGTCCGTACCCTCCTTTCCGTCCTTTCTTGGCCCCCCAACAATACCAATCTCCAATTCTCCTTTCTTGAAATCGACGCTGAGAACTGTGCTCAAAGTTGTGATGCCTAATTCTACTACATCTTCCCAGCTACCTTCTGCACAATCCTTGTTCTTGAGCTTTTTCTCCAGGTGATTGAACGCCTCCTGTTGTTTTGGACCCGAAGCTGTTCCTTTGTAACCAGTGTAGTAGCCAGCTGGGTCACATTTGTACAGTTGAGGACCAAATTCAGAATCCAACGATATTAACGTGGTTGCAACACCATACGGTCTCATGTATGCCTAAAAAAACAATATCAAGTTAGCAAGATGAACAGAGATACAGTATCATCCAAAAATTCGACAAAGGTTTCATTAAGTAAGCTTACTCTTTGGGTATAGACTTGGCTGATATTGGCGATCCTCTTTGCCAGGGCATCACACGGCATCTCGTATCCAAACTTGTATCTAAATTCGGCAGCCTCGCCAATAGCTCTTTGGACAGAGGCTCTGGCATCTGCGATAGAACCTGTCATGACGCATCCTACGGATGGTGACAATTGAAAGATGTGGGAGACGGATGATGGATCAATGAGCTTATCCTATGTGGAGCACCATTGTATTAGTATTGAACTTGAAATAGAATCTGGATCAGTGTGTCGTACGGGAACCTTCTTTTGAGAGAGAACAACGGCACAATCCTTTCCTCGAATGCCTACAGACATAATGTTCGCAGCGGTGATAGCTTTAAAAGCATACTCTATTCTCGCAAGAGCAGTTAGTATAATGTTATTGCATGCTGTTATGTTGGATTGGGGTCGTGATAGATCAATAAAGCTGAGATCCTACGAATCCCATGGCTTTAACGGTTCTATTTGCGTCTGGATCTGCGTACCGACTTGGTATAATCTTCCTTGATCAGAAAAGATCGTGATATGTCTGTCGTAACCTGCGCTACCTGTTGTGAATTGTTAGTTCAAGCTTCTCGAGCTTCTTGAGGAGCTTGTCAAGAGGTGGGCGCGCGAGAACAAACATACCCGACATTTTGAAGAAGTCGACTTGGTATCTGAATTTGAAGGATGGGGTATTTCAAGACAATGGCTACTTGTAAATTGGAATCAACAGGTATCGTGGTTGTTTAGGTGAGAAATAAAGACGTGGAAGAAATTATGATGCTTCAAAGTTGTCATGTACAGTAGCTACTGGTATCTTACCTTTACACGCGGAAGCTTGAAGCCTGGACTATCGTTCAAAATAGTTTAGCGCCGGGTATTAAAGCGGCGGGCATTCTTATCAAGAGAAAAAAAGTTACTTCGCGGTCCTTCACATCAACATCAATCTGAGCGTCAATTTTTTGTACTTTTTGTCAAATATCAAGGCTTACCTTACGAAGCGTAGATTTATTTTCATGTGTCTATAGGCTAGTAGATTCTTAGATTTCTTAAGTTCTTTGCCATGATACCTTCAACTTCCGCGAGTGGAGGTGCGCCACGAATCCCCTCATGGAAACGATTAGGCTTAAAGTTGAAATCGGCCCCAAGTTCCTCAGATTCAAATATTCAAGCCTCAATTACCGAACCTCTTAGAGAAATCGAGATAGCAAACAGGAAAAGACCAAGAGAAGATATCGAGTCCGAGCACGAAACGTCTGCGAAAAAGCCGAAGAATCTCGACTCTCATCCTCCTGCTTCTGAACCACAACGATCGGTCGTTCCCGATTCAATTATTACTACACCCAGAAAATCTGCGCTAAAAAAATCAGTAACATTCACCCCGGAAACAAAATCTCAAGATGGCGATAGTATAAAACAGTTATACTTAGGTTGGGTGGCCGATCAAAAAGCACAAGACGACTTTTTCTACGGTCCTTCTACGAGTCAAGCTTTTGAAACACCCGCACCACCTATAGTTGAGGAACAGTTTGATACTACACTTCCAGAAAAGGAACGAAGGGTGAAAAGAGTCAAGAAGACAAAATTGGAAGCCAAACCCGAAAATGGTACCACTGAGAAGGATTCGAAGCCCCAGAAGTCTGTGAAGAAGTCGAAAGTCTCCAAACCAACTGCCGCCCCACGTCCATTCTTAGCGTATTTAAGACAGTATCACGAATCGAAGGAGACGTGGAAGTTCAACAAAAATCACCAAAATCACCTATTGAAACACGCTTTCAACGTTGAGGTCGTTCCTTCCGATCACGTCCATCTTCTCTACGAGTACGTCAGAGGTTTGCAGGGAGGAGTCAGAAAAAGACTTCGAGACGAAGCATTAGCTATCAAGGTGAAAGATCGAGAATCTGACGCTTCTGGATTTCCAGCAACCATGGCAGACAGTAGCAAAAGACAACGAGAGTACGACCTTGCCATGAATGAATATGTTGCATCAATGACTGCCGCTGGAGCATCGTCGCGAATGGGGTATGAAGAAGGTGTAATTATAGGATTGTCGGATGCAGCAATGGCTCCCAGAATGGCCAAGAGAATGAGAGCCGAACAAATTCTTGCTGAATTGGGCTCTTCATCTTCCGAAGAGACGACGGATACGCAAGCCACGGAAACAGAATCTGTAGCAACGGACGGAGAAAAGAGGTTGCGATTGAATGATGGTACCCCGCAGAAGATCGGAAGGAAAAGAAAGCAACGGACACTTGCCGCTGATGATTCGAGCTCTTCTGACTCAGATTCAAGTAGTGATTCTGATGATAGCAACTCCGATGATGAGTCAATGGTGGACGGTAACAACAAAGACGATACATCTTCCAGTTCATCAAGCAGCTCATCTAGTTCGGGAAGTGATGATGAGGATTCATCCAGTGAAGACGGGTCGAGCAGCAGCGAAAGTGAGGACAGTGAGTGAGGACGGGATCCAACATTGAGTGAGTGGTATTGATCACATGTTACCTCTCATTATGATGGTTGCTCAAAAGGATGGTTTGAGAACTTGTGTGGGTTGAAGACTTACAAATCGCTTCAATGTTTCTTGCGTACAAACTACAAACATCAATTGCATATTCGATAATCCAGTTGGAGATCATGGAAACGCCTAAGTTGGTTTCTTGATTTCTTTTCGGATGGCCAATCAGGGATGGCTGAGCAGATAATACATGGTGGTGGCTGTTGAGTGGTTGCATTTTCTCCGATGTCCAAATCAACCTTGATATTGTTAATTGAGATACCCAAATACAAGACATGGCATCAAATACCAACTGTTCTTTTATCACCAATAATATAACAATTCTCATATACCATTGCTTCTTATCTGTACCTACCTAGTAATAATGTGATACTACTTACTGTGCCCTGTGTGCAATTGTATGCAGCCATATCTAAATCAGTCCTCGTGATTAAAATCTGTCGAATTTTCCGAAGCCCCCCATTAGAACGCGTTAAATATCCAACGTCATTTCGACACTCCACTCCACTCTTTAGAGTCTAACTAATAAACTCAATCATTATGACAAGTTTGGACGTTTCCTCCCACCTTTCCTAAAGTCAAAGATTCCCATCACTTCAAACATGCACAGAAACCCTCTATCTATCTACTTGAAATTTTGAGACGTGATATAGGTGATTATAATCGAAGGAACCGGATCTTTCTCCGAAATAAACGTTCACCGCCATTTGTTGAATGTTTGGACGATAGATAACTTGGAGGAAGCTTTTTTTGATATCAGCGAATCACTCACTCGATTAGGCAGGCCAGGCCAACCGGTTTGTGCTTTGCATGCATAGGTCTACTACGCAACCTTCCTTCGAAGACCCATATTGATTCAATTACAACGACTCGAACCCCTCATTCCCAATTTCTTTTCTCTAGAGACTTTCATTGTCTCTTATCTTTATATCTCTTCAAGAGAAAAACTGATCCTTCGATATCAAGTACCTGAAGACGAGACGGGAACAAACATTTGGATCGAAGGAGAGGTGGGAATTTAGAAAGTTTGCGAAAGTAATCTTGGGTATATTTACAACACCATGACGAGGGTTTATGTTTACAGTGTTGCTCTCGCAGTGTTTATCGCTGGTATGTTATTCTCTGCATCATTTGTATTTGTTATTAGTATGGCAGTTCTCTTGACCAGAATCTAGCCTCTGAGTTGATTTCGCCATCTTCTGCCAAACCATTATAGTACAATAGCTGATCATTTGAATCGTATAGCGACAACAATGACCTTTGTATCGATCTTCATACCTGATTGGATTACATGGGATGTAACGACACCGAACGGTAATCATGTAACGAAATCGATAGGACTTCATCGCAGCTATAGTTCGCTCACAGGCCACTCCTCTCATTTTCCTACGTCGGAAGATTGTGCAGGGCCAGACAGGGGATTCTGTTCCATGTGGCGATCCGTAGGATTTCTCATGTCTTTTGCGGCTGTGGTAGAGTTGGTTACATTGGTAGCATATGTAGTTGTCTTGTTCGGTGGCAAGCAGAAGAGAGAAACGGGCTGGAAAATACTAGCTTTCTTGCTGGTCTTGGTGGGTATAGTTCAAGCAGCTAGTATGAGTATTGTGGTATGTTGCGCTTGTCTTGGAAATTAATGGACGAGAGGTGAGATGATACTGACTGTTAGTAGGCATATCTATATGACCATGATGAACAATTCTTCCCGGGCTGGAAGCTGGACAAAGGATGGATTTTCTGCACTATTAGTTGGTGTCTCTCGATTGCATCCGCTGCAGGTATTGCTATCTCTGCATTTGCCCTCGCCCCTGAAGATGGCTACGAACTCATACCAAGTGAGCGCTCTGGAGGAATTTCCGCATAGTTCTACTTCGGGAAATTCTACAGCAAGCTCGTGATACATTGACACGGTTATGATGTTTCGATTTTAATTCTCTTGGTATCTATACTTTTGGTCACAACATGGAATGTCTGTAAAAAGACTTCCCAAGGTCTCTTGATTTGAGTGGATCGTTTTCTGCATTTGAGCATTTTGAGAGCGGCTGTATGAATCTATGCGTATACGACTGATGGACTGAATTTGGTTGGATTAATATGAATTGATGGTTATAAATTAGGAGTTAGGCCAATGAAAGCATGCTTCTCATCTTAATTATATCTCAGTTCCTTGCATTAGCTCATGCATTGAATCCATGATGGCGCCGAAGCTTATTGAGAGGCTCACTGGCATATGCAGTTTCTCGTCGCTCATCATGCAACGTTATTATACTGAAGTGTTCAAGAGATTAGAGGTCAATCATTGGTACATCTGACTTGATGGGCAGATAGCCTTGGCCTTTGTAGTAATTAGCTTTTTTTTTTACATTTTTACAACTCAGCACAAGTATATGCTCCTCGGCTTTCTTCAATCATCTCTAAGAAATGTGCACATAGGTAGGTTAGACAACTTCACGGCCACGGAATGGGTCACAAATTTTCTTCTTCTGGCTTGCGGGCTTGCGATCACGATAACGGGGGCAGATGAAGAAAGGAGGTAATGGGAGATTCCGAGGTTACGGGTTAATGCATGGAAAGTGTTACTCAGTATTTGTTAATGTGTGCCTTGAATAGTGACCGTAAGGTTGTGTGATGTTACAAAGATCGATAGGTCATCAGGATAGAGAGCTAATAAATTCAGAGATATCGGGTTGGTTGTACAGGATGAGGTTGTACAAGAAGTGAGGCTTGTGGCTGATGAAACGCTGACTGCTTGTTTGTTTGCTTAAGCGGTGGAAAGGTGATGGTGTGGTTTTCTTTTCAACTCTGACCTGGCAATCAACTCCCCAACAAAATATTTGGCATCAGTTGACTCTACATCGCATCTGCAACTGACAGCTTGTGAGAAAAAGAATCTCGATTGCGTGCCGCAGTGAGCGTAGGAGGCCTCAAACTCACACCGCCACCGAAATGTCGACCAACATTCTCAGCCTTCCCAGGGAACTTCGCAACAAGATATATGAGGAGCTTTTGGTGTGTGAATCCTCTATCGAAATAGACTCCCAGCTGCGATTCCTACCCTGGGACCTGACTCAGGGCCTGCTCTTCACATGTAGGACTATCCACGGCGAAGCCACGTCAGTATTTTACTCGCAGAATATCTTCGAATTCGATCTGTGGAATGCACAAGGTTTTCTCAATAAGATTGGTCCTATCAATGCCAGCTCTATGCGACATATTGCTATCACCTTTCCCTCATTCTACCATCTTGAACCCTCTAATATTGAGCTTGAAGTTGGCGACTCTCAGGGCTTGTCGAAAATCCAAAACGACTGCACCAGATTGATTACGCTTGAAACCGATTTAGAAGGCACCAATACTTGGCAAACCAAGCTCGATGAACTTGACAATCTCAATATTGTTGCGGAGGCTTTGGCTTTAGTTAATTCTCGCTTCAGAGCCATTCCATCCTTACAAAACATTACTGTCAACTTGTATGAAGAGGGCCCGGGTGATTATATCAGGAGGGAAATGATGAATCACGGATGGACTATCAACACCACGGAAAACCCACCATCGGATGACGATGGCAACGATGTATATCAATGGCTCGATCCTCCTGATGATGATGATGAAAGTTCTGATTATAGCGTCGATAATTATGACATTGATAACGATAGTGATTTTTGGAGAAGAGCGGGTGACTGAGTTAGTCTAGCAGGAAGTCTTGTATTACTCATTTTCTATCCAACTCCACCGAGAATAAGCCATAGACCGGTGACATCTCTTGCACAACAACAAGTTGTTGCAAAGAGCGCGACATCACGATTCACCATCTCACCCGCATCAGGTCAAAGCATTACATTGTGTTCCTGTCCCTATCTCACAGCAGCATTCTTGTTGCAGCAATCTCACTCTCAAAGCTCTTCCATGCTCTCCTAGTCTTTACGAATCTTGCGAAAAGGATTGCCTGCCCTTTCATTACATCACACGGCTCCTTTCGACCCCGGTACTTTTACAAATTGCTGCTTTCTTTCACAGCTATGATTTCTTCGCTTCGTTCTCTCTGTTCAAGTTTTTCTGGTTTTCTGGTCGATGGTATGTTTTTGTAAAAAGAAAGTAGGTTTGGGGGTATCCAATAGTAGAGAAAAAGGCTGGTGCCTTTGATTCTTCTCAAATGTCATTATTGTCTTAATTACCTATTGGTGTCATATTGAGGGTTTCCAGTTGTATGAGAATGAATTTCAGAAATCTTTGATGGTGAGAAGGACTTTCGTAGACAAAACAGCTTTATTCGTGTTGGTATCAGGAAGAAGAACAGTCACTTCAAAGTTAGTGGGGAACGGTCATAGTAGACAGTAAACATTATTTTTCCTACCTATTATTACAAAGCATTTTCCCATTACCTATCACACTCTACAGATATTATGAATCACGATACTTCTGTGTCTCTAAATTTCCAAATCGAAGATGCTAAGAGCTTTTTCTTCCAAGTCCAAAACTTCACGTTCTACTAAGCACACTCTACACTCGTAGAATAACATTTAAACCCCATATTTTGAATCGACACGCAGTTTGTTTTCTTCCTCTTCTCGTGTATAATTTTATCCTGGCCATTCAAAGAGGCTTAATATCCATTCAACTCTCCATCCCCTTTCATGAATGTTAAATATCCTGCCAAAACTTTGCTCTCCTCTTTGCTCATTCGAACATCAATTTCAAGTCTAGTAGCGAAGCTCATGAGTAGCGATGGGAAAAAGATTTTCGCCAGCCGGTTGTGTGGACAAGCCATTAAAACCTCTACTACTGAAGCCGCTACCTTCAAAATTCGAAAGGCTCGTCATACCAAGATTTGGATAAAGATTTCGACCTAGGGCCTCTGTCGGTGCTGGTCTAGTCATAGCAGGTTCTTGCTTCGATTCATCCGTGAAATTCGTGGTATGAGCGCTTGATTTTGGTAGTTTTCATCTACAGCGTAGACAAGACGCGAGAGCGACAGCTACCCCCGAAAATGGGTATCGGTATGTGCGGAGAAATAGACGCATGGGTAGGAAGCAGCATAACATAATGCCGATGTCTAGGTCGACATTACTTTTTCTGTTAGATCCATCCTCTGTAGCGACATTTTTCGGATCGGAAGGAGGTATTCATAATACCAAATTGCAATTGAGAAGATTCCAACACATATCATCAGTTCGATTAAACCGCACCCGGTAATATATGCTCAACGCAGACCCCATGCAGACGCTATCATTGTTTATATGTCAAGGATCGAATCTATAAGAGCAAGAAGATCACACTCACAGTAACCCCACATTAAATATCATCATAGCAGGTATTCGCTTCCGCGTTGGTAGATGCAACCGAATAGCAGCAATCAATGACAAGATGAAAAGATATACATCAATCCCCAACCCGACAGCGGCCGCGGGGACAGAAAAGGTGATTCCTATGAGAGTACGCGCTGATATTATATGTGATTTCCATGTTTCACCATTGAAAGGCATCGCCAGATAAAATTGAACGACCGTAATAGCGAGATAAAATAGGGAAGAAAGTGTAGCACCAATGAACACACAGATTTTCATCCATTGTAATCCTACAAAGATTCAAGGTACATAAGGAAGAGAGAGAGAGCTTTACGAAGCCTAGAGCAAGATAGACCATCCATGTATCTATGTAAAGAGCCTAGTTGATGTGAGAACCGAACTTAAAGCGAGAAGAATACATACTGTCAAATTTCGCCGACTGAATAGACGCAATGAGGAGATATCCCAGGAATGAATGCCGACTATACCACCTCCAGTGACAGCTTTTGGAAGGTCAGCTGTGCTTGATATATGCGTAGTAGTTATAGGCATACATACATATCAGATATCGATATAGACCACCAAAGCGCCAAGCTGCTGGCAAATCAATACTAGATCCAAATGACCAAAGGAATGGTACGTATCAAACCTATAAGTAGAGTGACTAATATGTCGTTAGTCTGAATAAATCTTTAAATGACAATGAGCAACTAACAATCAAACCATGTTACTTTCGCTGAATCGCCAATCTTGTATAAACTCGAATGGAGTAACATATGATCATCAGGCCAGCCAATATAGAACTGACAATAGCAAGTATCCAACCTCTACTTGTTGGATTGACCAAGTTCGAGGTGACACCGAGGGGAGCAGCGATAGCTGGAATCTTTGCAAGAACCTCTGGGGGTAAACTTGAGACGAGGAACTGGATTGGAGTAACAGCCATCTTTCGAATCAAAATTTGGACAGCTTTAGCTGAGAAGTAGACAATTCAGTCATTAGTTCACGGAACATCATATTAAACAACTTTTTGGGTAAATTAGTCCAGTGTTTATATACGTGTGACCTCTTCAAAATCAAGTTCTTTGAGGAAATCAGACATCGAAAAGCTATTTTGATTCAGCGACGGATAGCACCACAACCGCATATATCGTCACTATCACGAGTTATAGTAATAAAGACCGCCATATGGTAAACACGGCGATCAGTGCCGTGGGTGAAAATACAACACGAATATACGTTGCGACCTCCAGTTATATAGGCTGCGGTGTTTACTGGATCACAGTCTATGTTGCCTCCCACTTGTAGTTCTGGGAATATTGTGGTATGGCCTTCTCACTTGCTAAGCCCAAGCCCTTCCGATTTTCAATTTTCTTAGTTCATGGTGCTATTCGCGAGTGTTTATCACTAGGAAGGATTTTATATTCCGATCCCAAAATGACTCTAATCGAAGAGTGGCCTTTTCTTGGGCATTGTAGCAAGAAAATTTCGTCACTACGTAGTAACATACACGCAACAGTCAAGCATTACTCACTCCAAAATTAACTCACTGAGCAGGAGTCAGTCTTTCATCTCGAATACAGCATTGCGATAATACCAAACACCATTCAAAATCAAACCAATCGGAAGCATAACTGATATTCAAACATAGCAACGACTAGTGAATTTCTAGAAAGTATTTCTTCTAAGTTTTATCTCAAAGAACTTTCTCTTCGTCTTGAGTTGCTTAGACTTCGAGATTATGCTAGCTTGAAGTGCAGAGTGCCAAGTTTCACCAATAATTAAAGAAATAAAGCAAGCCCAAAGTCCAGATTTTTAAAGAATACACGAAGAAAGATTCATGACTTCATGAACGGCTTTAGCTCTCAAAAGAAGAACCAAAATTTGAAGAAAATAACGCCAGCAATGTATAAAGGTGTGATGTCATTCATGACGAAGCATACAGGGCACAGAAACGTACGAGAAGATCAAGCAAGTGCGCTTTGAGACTCCAGACGATAGCTCAATCGAAGCAATCTTCTTTCACGGCCCCATATAAACCTCAGGACTAGCTGAGGGCCAGTATACCCCGAGGCTTTGCCCTAATGAATCTTCGAGTCTTTGAAAGAATGTCTTTCCAGTTCGGTAATTGCTACTAAGCAGATCGAGGGAACCAAATTGGTTCCGAGAGAACGGATGTAATTTTCAAGTGACAACTATATCATCTACAAAGTTTGAGCATACATATATATGGCTCTTCTTGAAATATTAGTTAGGCACAAGTATATGTGTTCACTCATTTCGATAGTCCGAATAACGCATCATAGTATCAAGAACGATAGTTGAGAGCGATGACGATGTACTTTTGAGAAATAGTATTCTCGGTAAGGTGATCATAAGTGAGTGGGTAGGAGTAATGGAGATGGGAATAATTCAGATGTCGAGGGTCTCTGCATCTAACATAACAGGGAAATCCTCGACCTTAAGATTGGGATAGTAGTAATGATTGTAATATCAACGGGGTGCTTCAACACTAGTAGTCCCTCTTTTACCCCGCCCATGTGTTGCCCCACATCAAAACATTTCGCTCGAGCTTTCGGAAAGGTTGAGAATCTGTGAAAGAATCGATGGATTAAAAACAGATTTTTAGACGGGCAGAAATGTAAGTGGGTTAGCTATCATCACTAAGTTGAATTATTTCTTGAAACGAGATTAAGCGGGAAAATACATATTATAGCTTCGTCTTAGTTTAATTATTTATTGTATCTCACAACTTACAGCAATACAGTGGTGATTTGGCCGAGTGGTCTAAGGCGATGGTTTTAAGACACTTCAATCGAAGTAGAATTCACCATTATCGAGAGATGCGAGGGTTCGAACCCCTCAGTCACCAATTTGCTTTTTGGATTTTGTACAACCTCAGTCTACTGTTTTTTTTACACAACCTTCCTCAATCCCACCGACTCCGCGTGCTAGGTAGGTAGGTACTTACTTATTTATTACTACCCTTCCAGAGAAGATCCCCTCGAATAGTCCTCATCGGATTAAGAAAATATGATTGATATAGGAAGATGAAGTATATTGTGATTTTTGAAACGCAAGCACAGTGACGCAGAATTAGAAAGTGGATTTCTGCAATTCTTCTGTCCTCATTTACTTATGCATGCTCTCTTCGAATTAACAGCTTCCAGTGCTGTGCAAGCAAACACCATACCAGCTTGCTGCTTTCAACAATTGCTTACAGGTTCCAACTTACAATTTGAAAGTATGCTCTAGCAAACGAGTTGTTCGGGCAATTCCGACACAATTCGGCCTAGGTAGGTAGGCTTATCGAGTGAGGGGTCATTCGATAAGAGAATCCATCTCCTTCAACTCCACATCTTGCTTTACTATTAAACCCTCAACTCTCTCAATAATAGCAATTCCTTCAATTAAAAGCAAAAATGTCTCCCTCTCGTACATCGCCGCCTCCTGCTGCTTCCAGAGGCCTCACCAAGGAGCAGCTCGACACCTTTAACAAAGATGGATATTTGATAATCCCAGAAGCTCTCTCCCAAGAAACAGTTTCCTCCCTGCTATCCGAAACTCATTCTATGTTGAACAATTTCTCGCTGGAAGATCATCCTATGACCAAATTTAGCACGGGGGAAGGAGATGACGTTGAACATGTTGGGGATAGTTATTTTCTGGAGAGCGGTGACAAGATACGATTTTTCTTCGAAGAAGGTATGTTTTCTCGTGTTTTGGATCATGAATTATTCACTTCATATAATTTTTGGGCTTCACACAACCCCGTTGGATTCAATTGAATCTTCAATACCAATACTAACACTCAAAAACTAGACGCACTTTCCCCAAAAGGCGAACTCCTCAAACCCAAACACCTCTCCATAAACAAAATCGGGCACGCCCTCCATTCACTCTCGGCCCCCTTCGCCGCGCTTCTCTCCCCAAACGCTACTCACTCTCCCTCCCTCATTGCGCAATCCCTCGGTTTCAAAGAACCCCAATGTTTGCAATCAATGATAATTTGCAAGAACCCTGAAATAGGCGGCGCAGTCCCCCCTCATCAAGATTCCACATTTCTATATACCGATCCACCGAGTGCAGTGGGATTTTGGTACGCGCTCGAGGATGCGACGAGGGAAAATGGATGTTTGAGTTTTTGGCCCGGGAGTCATAAGTGGGAGGGGGTGGGGAAGAGATTTGTTAGGAGGAAAGATGGTGGGGGGACGGAGTTTGTGGAGAATAAGGGGGAGGTTTTCCCGAGGGGATTGGAAAAGAGGGAGAAAGAGGGGGAGGAACAGGAAGGAAGTTATGTAATGGGTGAAGTTAAAGCGGGGGATTTGGTACTCATTCATGGAAATTTATTGCATAAGAGTGAGAGGAATACGAGCGAGAAGGGGAGAATTATTTATACGTTTCATGTTATTGAGGGGGAGAATGTGTATGATGAGAGGAATTGGTTGCAACCTCCTGCGGGGGGCTTTACTAGGCTGTAGAGTAAGAGTTGGAAATCAAATGGAATAGTGTGAAATGTCGCTTCATGAAGATTGAGATCTGTGTGTGAACTTCGTCTCGTAATGGGCGTCAAATCCTGGACTATATTTTAGAATATTGATGAAGCTACACGTGCATGCATCTCAGAATAGCAAATGAGGAGCCCGAGTTGGTATGAGAGGGCCAAAACAATGAAAGATAGGCGGGTATGGCAATGTTATAAAGGTTCAGGTCCTCAAGATACAGGAGGAGATCAAAATTGAATTAAAATATTGCATTACTATCGCATACTTAGGAACTGGCAAAGTAAAGTAACGCCAATCAACCAGGACGAAATAGTCAGGTGCATAGAAAGAAAGTATCCAAGGACATTGAAAGTATTTCGGAACAAGTTCTCGTGAGACGAATCTGATTCAGATCATTCTTCCTGTGTTTAGAGATATGCTGCGTTTTCTAATCTGGCGTGTGAAATGAAGAGTATAGAAAGAGTTAAAGACTTTTGATAAATATGTGTTATGCTTGAAATGTCTTCCCAATGAATAATCTGCAATGATAGTTCCCAGCAATGTTGTTCCATGGTAGAACTTTGAAAATTGGTGAGATAGAAGTGATGATTCTCAAGGCCGTGTTGGTAAAGTTGATACCCAGCTGTGTCTTGAGTTTTACTCTCCTGCCCTTCCATGCAATGTGCTAATACTGTTGCAGTAGTGTCATGACGCTATAGATCAAGCTTGTATTTTGTGAATAATGATGTGAACTAATGCTGTGTGTTTCTCTCAAATCGTCCCCATGCGATGGCTTTTGTGTATGTGATACTAGAATTCCGTTGAACCGAGTGGAAGATCCATATCGTATTGATTCCCACCATCCAAATGCTCTTCTCGCCATCGTGTTGCCGTAGTTTATTAAAATCAAGAGCTAGTCACAAAATGCCAAATCTTCTTTCGCGGGGATTTTCTGCTGAAACTTTTCAATATTCAAACCAACAATTTTTCTTCCGAGCTCCTTGATCTGTACCGCAATCATATTTGTGAACATCTGCTGATTCTTGCACCCTAGACCAGGCACCAAAGTTCCTCTCTGTTCACTGAATTTTCTTCCTTCTGCACACAAAGTTCAAATACTGAGTTTAGAGACGCATTTGTGAAGATTGAAGAGATTGATTCCGACATATGGCGCAGGAGGAAATGGCCAGCCTACATTAATACCAACACTTTTTTAGAAAAGAGCCAGTAGTCATGATCCCGCATGTATTGCGTGGGTCGTCGCAATATGGTAGAGGCTCGGTCCCTCGTTTGATAAAACTGTTGAGCGCATCAAATATATCAGACAAAGCTTGCGTGCGGGCTGTCTTGATTGCATCTGGTGTCAAGTTAGTCGATAGTGCGTTAGTTAAATCTTGCTAAACTTACCAATGATTGAGGGGCGAACGTAATAGTCATCCTTCATATTAGCACCAAAATTACCTTTAGAGTGCAAGATTGCCCTCCGTGTGTACCTCTCAAACACGCAGGCGTTGCCAAAGACCAACGACGTGAAGATGAGCGGATATATATTACTGAGTTTATTGTGAATGGAGCAAGGCAGATTATCGAACCATTCTCTTGAGACCCACCGCATTGCATCAAATATTTGATATTTCTCTGTAAGGATCGCTACTTTTACGAATAACTGAAGGCTGATATTTCCGGGAACCATTTTATTGCGATGGTGAATGACATTGGCTACCATTGCGAATGCATCAGGATCGTCATCAGGCAGCTTAATTTCAACTTTTCCACACACGAGTAACTCGGCCCCTTCCTTAAATCTAGCATCGCCAACCATTACGTCGAAGACAGGCGATGCGAGTATTAAATGTTTCGAAGAAACAAGCATAGTGATGGTGTTGGAGGTATCATCGGGACTGATAGTACTGTCAGCTCTAAATCAACGAGAGAGGGTTCAGAGGAGCAAATACGTTTTCCTCTTCAACGAAGTTGACTCATTTAGTGAGTCTTTCTTTGCCTTCTTCTTTATCCTCAAGATGCCGTGTAAAGATAAGAAGGACGTCGCCTTTGGTTTCAAAGATAAGCTTCTCTGAAACGTCAGCAGTGTCTGGTGCCATTGTAATAGGATTACTGTTTGATGTGGATCGAAGATTGTTGATTGAGAAGAATCGAGCTTTGATGCTGATCCGGTATGGTATATATGGATAAGATAAAGACTTGTGTGATTTCTCGACGACTGCAAAGTTGTGGACCGGATACGAAAGAGAAATAAGTTTCGAGGAAGCTAAAGTCGAAGATTTTGTGGTGTATATGACATCGTTACTTGTAAGGGTCGAATGAGATAACGAAAATTTATTGCGAAGTCGAGGAAAAAATATAGTCCTATTCTTTGAACTGCTGATGATTGGTTTGATTTGAGCATTTGGTAAGCTGTATTCGCTGGAAGTTACAAGCTATGAATTCGAAGCCTATGATTTGAGTCGTTGAGAAATGAAAGCATGAGAGCTGATATAATGGGACAACGAAAGTGAAGTGTGGGTAAATGATTAGTGATTCAGTATATCTTCTCATTCCAAGAAGCTTTCTCCAGAAAACCCATAAAATTTATGATATCAAGAAGGCGTAAGCGACAACTGTGTCATGTCCAAATTATTCGCCTTCACTCTTGCCGATAGCTTAAGCTCTGGCTGCACTCTCTTCCTCTTCTTAAAATCCCCCATATCTAATCCAGATAACCTCTTCTCAAGAATTGCCAGTGCAGTATCGATAGCCTGTTTGACACCATGAGTAGACCAATGATGATACTCAAACCCTTTGAATGGAGAAATCTTATCGCAAAGAGCAACCACTTCCACTTTACGGATTTGGCTGACGACATAGTTGAAAGTGAGCTCTGTGTCAGTGAGATCTGGCACGGGAAATATGCCTAGTTTTTTAGAGCTTTGTAGGAGCGTTCCCAGGACCATGCCACTACATTCGAAGGAATCTTTGCGGGGTGCGGTGCAATGATGTTTACCGGTGTTGAGTATTGTTTCGACCGTGGAATAGGCGTCGACTATTGCAGTCAATCTTCGTTCTTGGATTGCATCTTGACTAGTATTAGTCATATCATGTGTCCAGAACTTCAAGGGAAAGGGCAAAATCTATCTTACCAAGAACTCGATTTGGTATTGGAATATCATCTCTGTCTTCCCCAATCTTACCGTTACTTTGTCGTTCTGCAATTCGAGTAACTTCTTTAAAGATACTTGGCTTTTCAAATACCCAAGAGATACTAAGCCATGGAAGTAAACCGTCGGTAAATGTCTCTGGTAACTCGGCTTCAAGCAATGATATCCATCTATCAGACATAATTTCAACTACCTCATGTAATTGATACTTATCAACCAGGGTAGAAATTCTCGATAAGAGATCCAAATCGATTTTACGAGGAACATTCCTTGTCCGGCCATGAATAATGCACATCAAGACTGCAAAAGCATCAGGGTCATCGTCAGGCAAGGAAATTTCAATCTTGCCAACAGATGCTAGTTCTCGGCCTTCTTTGAAGTTGCTGTGTTGAAGCATGGCTTTGAATACAGGAGAAGCAAGACACATGTGCTTGGATGAGACTAACATATGTACATCTTCGCTGCTAGCGCTTAGTTCATCCGTTGAATTGTTCTCCTCCGAGTAGTTTTGTGATTCTGCTTTTGTCTTTGCTGAATCTCCCTGAATCTCTCCTTCGTTTGTGTCTCTTAGCTCTATCACTCGTGTGAGAAGTAGGACCAAGTCTCCGTCCGGATCATACGTCACAAACATCTTGTCTGATTTTTTTGAGTATAGATCTAAATTGCTGTTTTGTATCTTGATGTTGACAAGTTCTTTTCAAGTCATAAAGCAGGTCAGGAGATTGGAATTGGCCTGAGGTGATTGACATGTATATTCCTCAATAAGCTCAGCCAGATGTGATGAGTGTTCATTTGCGATGAGAAACCGAATAGTATCATCGTTTTGTAGAGATCCAAATCTCTGTTGCCTAACATTTGACGTTGTTGATGACATTCATTAGTGAACCCCAGACGAGTGTATAAGGCTGGAGCCTGCTAGATTTAATTGTGGCTGAGATCTACGGTAGCTAAAACGGCAAGGCCAACCCCACTAATGTCTGCCCCTCAGCCTTACTTCATCGTGGTCCTCAAGGTTCTTGAAACCATTAAATAAACCATAACCTCCCTTGTAGAATACCTTGATTTTACAAAAACTATTGACAATTTCAGAAACTTACCAATCTTTTTAACATTGAAGTCAAGCTAACGAAAGATGTCTATCACTATTGACAAGATCCTTGCTGCTTCCCCAGACACTCAACGTGGCCGTCCGACACAGCTAAGTTGTGATCCAAAGGGGGAGCGTATTGCTTATGCCGTACGTGTGTATCTCGAAGTACTAATATGCAAGCGCTGACTCTTCATTTCTAGTCTGGTAAATCAGTTTTCGTTCGTAATATCGATGATCCTTCACTAAGTAAACAATTCACAAATCACACAACTCAAACAACCGTTGCTCGATTCTCTCCTTCCGGTTACTATATTGCCAGTGGTGATGTCTCTGGAAGCGTCAAGGTCTGGGACTCGATAGAAGGAGTAAATGTTAAGGGAGATTATCATATTATAAATGGCAGAATTAATGATATTGCCTGGGATGGAGATTCTCAACGTATCATTGCAGTGGGAGATGGTCGAGAACGATTTGGAGCTTGCATAACTGCAGATAGTGGAAATACCGTGGGAGAAATTGTTGGACATACTTCGGTCATCAATTCAGTTGCAATTCGTCAGCAAAGACCACTCAGAGCAGCTACTGGATCTGATGATATGAGCATGGTCTTTCTCCATGGAGCTCCTTTCAAATTCAATGCAAAGTTGGGAGAGCTTCATAAAGGTTACATTTACGGAGTAGGATTTTCGCCGGACGGAAATCACCTCGTAAGTGTCGGAGCTGATCGCAAAATTCAATTATATGACGGAAAAACTGGTGATACCAAGGCAAGCTTTGGAGAGGGAGAGCATACAGGAAGTATATTCAGTGTCTCGTGGGCCAAAGACTCGAAGAGATTGGTTACAGCCAGCGCGGACCAAACCGTCAAACTATGGGATGTCGAAGCTGGTAAAGCTGTTCAAACTTGGAGATTTGGCGGAGAAGGAAATGTAAGCATTCCAGATCACCAGGTTGGTGTTGTATGGCCTTCTCGCAACGACGGAATGATCATCAGTTTGAACTTGGCTGGAGATCTAAACTATCTGGCTGAGGGGATGGATAAACCAACCAAGATTGTTCAAGGACACGGTAAAGCTATTACGGCTATTGGGTCAGCACACACGGAGAAAGGCCAAACATTATGGACCGGTAGTTTCGATGGTCGAGTCGTCTCCTGGGACGTCGGCACTGGTGTTGGCTCTGCTACTGAAGGTTCTTCGCATACCAATCAAGTATCTAGTTGGGCGAGCGCTGGAGATAAATCCTATAGTGTTGCCTGGGATGACACTTTACGAACCATCGACGTTCCTCAAAATACTTTTGTTGGCGAGGCAGCTAAGTTGAATGGTCAACCTAAAGGAGTAGCAGCTGTGGACGACAAATTGTATGTTGCTACTACAAACGGCATCGATGTCTTCTCTAAGGGAAGCCTCGTAAATACTGTGGCAACCAAGGACTTCACACCAACATCTATTACAGCAAACGGAAATATTGTAGCGGTAGGAGATGATCGCAATGTTGTACATGTATACAGCGTTGATGGAAACAATCTATCTCCCAAAACAGAACTTACAAAATCTCTAGCTGTAATCTCCGCATTAGAATTTTCACCTAGTGGAGATCTTCTTGCGGCAGGAAATTCATCAGGCAAAATTCATGTTTATGATACATCCAATTGGGAGATCAAGACGGATAGATGGGGCGGCCACACGGCAAGAATAACCAGCATTGGTAGGTTTTTCTTTCGTTTTCTTTCACAGGATGTCTTACATCTTATACCCCAAGCTCTATCCCATTTTTCCATGCCGCACAACTAATATATTTCTTCGCAGATTGGAACCAAGCTGGAACCCACGCCGTGAGTGGCAGTCTCGATACCAATGTTTTCGTTTGGAGTCTTGCCTCACCAGGAAAGAGAGTCAAAGCTCCCAACGCGCATAAAGATGGTGTTACCGGTGTTCGTTGGGTTGATGGTGGAAAGAAAGTCGCTTCTGTGGGTGGAGATGCTTCTTTGAAGGTTTGGGATGTTGCCGGGTTAGCTTAAAGCGAAACATATTTTCATTGAGCGCGTGGTAGCGACGTATTTATGCATGTTCTCTCGCGACATTGCAGATTTTAGAGTAGTAAGATATCAAATGAAAGCAGTTTTTGGAGCGCTAAATATCAATAGAGATTTTATTCATTAAGAGATTGAGAAAAGTTGGTGAACTATTCAATTTCAATTGCTCAAAAAGCAACACTCCGACACAAGATGTGCAATGAATTTCGAAAGATGTCGACCAGAACAATTTTATCAGTGACGTGGATCCTAGCCACAGGAATTACGCCTGATATGTCAAGTTCAAACAAGTCGTGCAAATGAGAATCAAAGGAGACCGGAGCAAAGGCACCTTCATCACAAGCTTTAGCAAACACAACAAGCTTTTGCCAACACAATCAAGCTCCCGTCGCCGCCAAGAAGGTTAAGAATACTAGACCAGGGGTTAAAACAAGAGACTGATCGAATGGTTGTCGTACGCAAATTGAAGGAAGTAGAAATGTGATGAAAATCAGAAACACGCAAATTAGAATCTCCTTAGACGATCTTGGCGTATGTAATATGGCATTTCATTTTCATGCGGAAGTGGCTCGAGCAGGTCGAAATGTTACTATTTCCTTGATTTTTGATTACGTGGAGGCGCCTAGATGACTGTTCTTGCGGACGGTGTGGCTAATGGAAGCTGACGTCATCATCCGTGTCACTCAATGAACCAATCAAAAGATTTAGATGATTCGATTTTCGTGAATATCCTCCAAGCTTCTCCATGTTATTTCCACTAGCGGGAACTAGGGGATTATTCTGGCGTAACCACAGGGGTAACGTACATTTTGGTGAACATTGGTAACTGGTTGGTATTGGTGGGATTCGTGGCCATTCCGTTATTGATATTAGGAAAAAAGAAGAAAAAAGAAGAAAAAATCAAGGTACGCAGTCTCAAACACGTTCGTGCCACCAAAGGCAGGTGGGTAAGGTAAAAAGAAATGGGTATTAAAGTTTGAACTTTCCTTCTGCTAAAAGTCTTGGATTCCTTAGTGATCTCTTCATTTCAATCTCTATTCTTGTCAACCTCACTCAACTTGATCAGAGTATTCGTTGCTCTCCAAGTTGTTGAGTTACTTGTTACTCAGCTTCATCTCTCGTCTCCCATCTCTCTAAATCCTTTCAAGAGAAACCCCGAATTCCCATCTCACACCTACCTACTTGCGAAGGTGCCAAATATAAAATGGGCATGCTCTCACGCAAACAACAGGCACCTGCCACTGCTGGGCCTGGAGCAAATGTAGCTACTCATGAGACAAAACATCATGGTAAAGGACCATTGGTTCTTCCCATGAACAAGCGTCCAAGTTTCGGACAATGGCTCAAAGTCACCTGGCTCGATATCCTCACTATGGCTGCTATGGGTGCTGTTGGACTGGGTGTTTATGAAGCTCATCCAGCTCCTTCTCGATCTTTTCCAGTCTATTTCCAAGATGGAGAGATTGTTTATCCGCAATTCGCATACGTAAGTATACCCTTTATCCATCCTAGCAATCGTCTAATCAATACATTCAAACAATTTCTAACATACATTCATCTAGCCTCTCCGTAACGAAATCGTTCCAATTTGGGAAGCTGCACTCCTCGCGTCTCTCATCCCTATCGCCGCCTTCTTAATTGTTCAAATCCGCGTCCGATCTTTCTGGGACATGAACAATGCCGTAATTGGCCTCCTCTATTCCCTTATTACAGCCGCCGTCTTCCAAGTTTTCCTCAAATGGCTCATCGGTGGTCTCCGTCCTCATTTCCTCACCGTATGCAAACCCAACATTCCAGTAACCACGACGCAAGAGACAGGAAATGGTCTCAACTTTATCATGTACGATCGAAAAATTTGTACAGGTGACGAAGATGAAATCGATGACTCTCTCGAATCCTTCCCATCTGGTCACTCCACTGCTGCTTTTGCCGGTTTCATCTTCTTGTACTTGTACTTGAACGCAAAGCTGAAGGTTTGGTCAAACTATCACCCTGCCATGTGGAAACTCATCGTTACATACGCACCTGTTCTTGGCGCCACGCTCATCGCAGGTGCACTCACCATTGATGAATACCACAATTGGTATGATTGTCTCGCAGGAGCTATCATCGGAACAGTTATGGCATTCTCATCTTACAGAATGGTGTATGCGTCGATCTGGGACTGGAGAACTAACCACATCCCTTTGAACCGCTCAACTCCTTTCCCTGGAACTGGAGCGGATCTTGAGGATGCGACGTTCACAAGAAAGGCTGGATGGGGTACCGAAGGCTACAGCGATAGTGGATTTGGTGCTTATGGACGTGGATATGGACATGGGCGTGGTATGAGTCAGGGTGAAGATATCAGAAATAAGGAGTACCATAATGGAACTGGTACATCGGGCATTGGACGTAGACCTGTCGGTGCAGGTACAAGCCACTTTAACGGAGATGCTGCGCATATCGTCTAAGGTACTTCAGATGTTTTAAAAGGATAAGAGAACTTGATGATGATGAGAGTTCGGAGTTGCATAGTAGGGTATGACATGGCGTTTTAATGAAGCAAGGAAGTAAGGATGGGTTTTACGAACATGATACCAGTATAATTTGCATCAGCCTTTGGTTTGCTTTTACATCTTACATTCAATAGTTGATTAATTAGCTTTTAATAAATATTAAGATTGGAAAGATCCAGCTGTACTTTTTGTGATTCATGACCTATTTTCTTCATCCTCGTGTTTAATCTAGCCCTTCGATCCATCTTTCACTAAATCATGAAGAAGGGAAGTCAAGACCAATTTTGAAGTCGAAACAATTTCTCCCCAAGACACAATGCTTACAACATGAGGGATGAGATACTGAGGAGAAACAGTGTATCTACACCAGCCGAAATTTCAACCGATGCAGCAAAATCAATAATATTCCACAAAAACTCTCTAGCTCTGACTATCGTAGTGATTTTCCCCCTCCCCCAAGTTTATCTCACCTTGACTCATCTTCATTGAGAAATGTAGAAATACAGAAAGTAATATAGAACATATCTAGATCTGCATCTAAGTAGGTATATACTTATCAGATTTAGATTTCCAATTTTGATACGAGATTAGGTGAGAGCTTGAGGGCTTGGGATGAAGATGCAAGTGAGATGAGACGCAGCTAGTCATTGTAAGAATCTAGGATTTGGTATCCTAGCTTAGCTGGGTAGTTGCTTCGGAAGATACCTAGCTACCTAGAGACTGCGAAACGAGGAGTTGGGGATGTGTACGGTTTGGTGATCATCCTTCTTCGAGTTCGGATGAAGTAGAGTAGAGTGGTTATGATATACATACCTATGCACGTATGTATATTGTATATTGCAAAATAAAGATATAATTTTGGACAAAGATAGATCTTAATCCTTGCCTTTCAGCGGCATTCTGAAGAGTCATTCCTAGGTATCGTTGGGAAGTTTCGGGCTAGATGCCATTGAGGTGTTTTGTTGAGAGAGGAGGTGTTATTCTTACTGTGGAATTTGGATATTAGGGTTTATTTTTCGTATCTCGTGTCTCCAGTTGATGATATATACTTGAGCGCAATGCATACGTTTACTTGAATACATGTATCTCTCAAGCTGTATTCAGGATTCGGTGTTCAGTGTAGCAACTCTGGTGAATGAATACCTAGAATTTGCTTTGAAGAGTACGGTTGATTGGTTGGTTTTGCTATGAGTGCGGCCTCTGAGAAATCGGATTGGTTGTGGTAATGGGATTATTGGATATGAGATTGTGGAAAGGTGTGTGGGTATAGCTTTGCGTAATGACTAGTAAGGAGTTTATCTTTGTAGAGAGGGAGAGAGGCATAGTGCGGGGGGTTGATTCTGGAGACGCTATGCTTGTTCGACTTCTTCGAAGTGGAAGTGTGAGTATTCCTTGTCGATTTTGTTTGCAACTTGAGGGTTTTATTTGTGTTTTTTTGTGGTTTGGGTTTGGGTTTGGGTTTTGCGCAGTGAGAACTGCGGATGAGATGATTATTTGGTTGATGCGAGTGTCTGATTCGGGTTTGATGATTTTGGTGATATTGAATCGGTTAGGTGAGGGGTCTGTATCTTTGATTCTGTCTTCTCCGCTTCGACCCTGGGCGGGAAGACACTGGAGATATAGTGGGATGAGTAGGGAGATGAGATGGTTGGTTCGTCCTAGCGTCGCTGGGAAGTGCATTGGGGGTTGATCTTTGTGAAGTCGAGAGAAATAGGAGATATGGCTGCTAGATATGACAAAAGTTCATAAAGAAACATAGCTTTGAGAGAAATATTGCAAAAGGGGTGAGTAAAGAGGTCAAGTTCTCAAGAGCTAATTCCAATATCTTCCAGAAAGACGTTTTTGTGCTGAAGTATTTGACTTGGGGTCAAAGGTTTGATATCTGAAATCTCTTAACTTTCTGACACTTCCAAGAAGGGAAACTCTTTGAACAAATGAGACATGATCAGCTCATGTACATCATTTGGATCATGTTGAAATATCACTTAGGCTGGGTAAAAAATGAATGAGAAGATGAAAGGAATATTTGAGCATGAATTGATACATAGAGCGGAACAGAGATAAGAAAGGTGGTGTATATTGTGAGGTCAATTATTTTTTGTTTTTTTCATGTTGTTTAGAAGTTCATTCAAGCATACTCATACTAGGCAGTGAAGAGCAATTTACCCCTTATTCTAGCGTGTGACTAGCATATTTTCACACTCGTTGAAATCAAGCATCAAGCTATCGTTCGGACTTGTCCTCGCAAATAAAGATTGAAAACTTGATATAATTACCTAGGTACTGATGAATCTGACCATAAGATAAGTGAATCTATCAATGTGGATCGCGGGACTGAGAATTATCATAGAGTTTGAAGACGGATAGGCGGATGAACAACAACCCGACGTCGTCAAAGGATTGCACATTAACTTAATGAACATGAATATAAGTGAATAAGAATCGAAATCAACATCTATGAAAGTGAAAACAAAGTTTTCCTGCGAATATCACATTTTGTTCCGCTTCTCCTAATTGCTAATTGCTTGTTTCTATCGCGCCGAGCTGCGTCTGTAGAATCCGAATTGCTATAATCACCCTTCTAAACTTCGCAAAGCCTTCTTGCCAAGAATCACATGCGTGCCAAGTCGGTATTTCTCAGCCCTACTCTCGCCTGTGTATAGGAGTTGGAGCGTGCCATGTGCATAGTGTGTCTGTCTCGTCCGAAGCGACCGTCCAATTTTCTCAAATATCATGCCTTTCCTCTGCATCGATGCGATTGAATAGCGGTGCATTAAATATAGCCCAAAGTCTGCAGTCATGGCAAGGTGCAAGAGTCATCCTTTGAACGTTCCTAGTGAGTTTTATCATCGCAGTACCGACGTCGAGAACTAACTGCCACTAGTCGTTGAAGAAAACATCTCGGGGATTTTACAGGCTCATAATGTTCTGTTAATCATCTCTTTTGTATGCAGCATAATCGCATGCAGTCTATCGTTCTACCTGATTTGGCGCATCTCAGTAATTATGTCCACCCCAAAACGCAGGAGTTGTAAGTCAACCAGCTTTTGGCCAAATGCTAGAATTTCTCTGACGAAACTCGCTAGAACTATCCGAATTCTTTCCATGGCCCCTGTATACAAAATCTGTTGCATATTCAGTATCCAATGTTACAGAGAGAATGTTTATATTGGTGCCATATACCAATTTTATGAATCAATTGTCATCGCTTCGTTCTTTCTACTGCTCTGCAGATATCTGCATACAGAAATGCATTCGCTCCGCAGAGTATTTGCTCTTGTCCAGCCCAAGCCCTGGTTATATCCAGTCCGATTCCTGAGAATGAAAATCTGGCGTAAGAAAACCACTTATATAGAAGATGGGCTAAAGTGGCTTGGAGTGAGTCTATATCCTTAGCAGCTTTCAGTCCAGGAGAACTTGAAAGCGTTGCTAATGAAGGCTTTTTACAGATTATCTGGGCTACCGTATTTCAGTTCTGTGTAGTAAATCTTGAATTCGTGGCAAGAATATGGTGGTAATGTGACTTGGACTTCGGAAAGTACCAGTTCCGATAACAAGATGCACTTCTCTTGTCAACAAAACTCTTTGCCGCTACCATAGTGGCAAGCGCTTGTCCATGTACTCAGCTTTGGCGATGTTCTAAAATGCATTGTGGAAGGCTTTCATGGACTTCGGAGTAGTCGACGTAATGCAATCATGGCTCACTACGTGGATGCAGGGATCGAGGGCAGGGCAAGCCCGTACAAAACAAAGGATCTCTCTGAGGCATTGGACCTGGTGGATCGAGGCCCGGATGAACACTAAAGCTTATATTAGCTGCAGAGTGTGTAATCTGAGGATTAGGAATCAATTGTAGTAGAACAAGACATTGTAGCGAGGGTTGAAATTAGATAATATTGTTAGATCCAGAGAAAATTCAGAGCTGTCCAATGGCGAAAATTTGCTGCTGGTTACCCATCTTACTACTAAGCTACTTGTATATGGCTTAGATTGGGTTGAGCGAATGAGAAGCCTTGCTATTCCCTCATGGTTGACCACAAGATGGCCAATGGAGACACAGGATAACACTGGTTGTTGGAGCCGAACCTCAGAGTTACGGGGAATACAATGCTTATATATAATAGTTGATGATTTCGTAGTTACTGTCGTTAACTTGTTTGGCCTACGTTCTTCGCTTTAGAATTAAGTAAACCTTTGGTAGAGGTCGAACCAAGTCCTACCATCAAGCATTGTGCTGAGTAATACCTCAGCTAAACTCAAGATCTAGCTCGATCATATTGCGCTCCAGAAATATGTCACACCCTTTAGGTTGTTACGTGAGTAGAGTTGATGAGAAGGATCGAGATCATGTGTTTGCACTCGATCGAGCTTGGCAAGGTGTCAGAAGTGAGTAGTTCGGACTAGTTATAATCTCGGTTTTGCCGTATTACCAGATCTCGATTGGTACAGAAACGAGTCGTAAAGCCTCCCACCCCCAAACATTAGGACCGGATTAGAACCAGCACCTCCTTCCGTCCTCCACAGTCAACTTCCAAAAGAATAGCTGAAACCCTTTGTATATCTCTACCTGTCTTAGTGAGAAGCGGTGTTACGAGCTCTAGACGCCCAAGTCAAAGAGAGCTACAGCATGCGAGTGAGGAATCGTCGAGCAAGGACCTTAGATTAGGAGCTTGAACAACCCTCAGGATACGTCCAGCCGCTCTACAAATATTCGAGAGTATACGTAGGACGATCCCAAACATTCGTGCAAAAAGTGAGGTGCAAAAAGTGAGGTGCAAAAAGTGCGTTTCATTCTACGGCATAGGCTGCGTTAAAATTATCCGCACCCGCGGATACCCGTTGCAGCCTACTACGGCATGAACCAGAGATTACCAAGGCATCAGCACTTTAAGAACCGCGCGAAATAAAATCAACTTTCCTATTCCAGCTTATCTATATTCTCTCGGGCGTGCTCCGAATTCTATGATACCGCCTGCCCCACAGGCTTTTCCTGGTCAAGCGCACAGCTTGTGCAGCCGTCTCCAGTGCTTTCACCATCCCCACAGGTGTGAAATGTCCAGGCGTGCAAAGCTCTTAGTTTCCGTCCCTTTGGTATCCACCAGCTTGAGCTTTGGTTTTGTGAATGCTAGAAGATACGGCGGCCAAGTGTTACAACGTCACTCACGTTGAAAATGTGAAATTATCGGTAACTGCCCAATCTCCCGGCAGCTTAAATCTCAACCTGGCAAGCCATCATACTTTAGACAGGAGAACCAGGCAAGAAAGAGGACAACTGTCCATGAGGTGTAGTGATCTGCACCCAAGAAGCCTACGGATGGCGTATTACCGAGGCTTCCAAAATTGAGTTGAAATAAGGGTCTTAGCTATCTTTGCTTGTTAAAAATAAAAGGCATTGCGGAGCAGGAAGCGGAACGAGAAGAATCCGAAGCACCGGATAGCACATGAATGGAAATCGTTATTCGTAAATAGAACAACTGTGGGACTCTGGGAATGTGGGGATGTGAGTCAATGAATAAATATGAACACAAAATAACGAATGGTGTATGGTGAGATATTCTTCGGTAGTGGATCAGGTTGAATTTCAATCGATGCATTTGCAAAAGCCGAACGGGTGCAAGTTCTCCTTGGAGTATCTGTGGCTGTAGCACTATGCTACGCCCTACCTGTTACGCACTGATGTAAGACAGGCGAGGTCACAGTTTCACTGCTTCATGGCATTATAAGGGCACTCACGACGAATGCGGAGAAAGCATATGGTGAAAATATCCTTTGGCACTTGATGACCCACAAACATAAGGAATGAAGTGTAATGTTTTTCACTGATAAGATTGACAAAGATTACGCGTGGGGCTTTGTTCCATTACGTCGAGTTCATGCTGGCTGGCTGTCTGTTCAACACAGATATTTCGCTAGAGCTTACTTGAAGTAGGTACCTAGGGATAGAAACTTGATGTAACGGTCAGTTGCAAATATATGAAAAGACCTGTATGATCAATGAGTCCATGAAATTTCTCATAATTAGTTCGATTACATAATGGTAAAATGTAGTTTTGAATGATAATCTTATGTTCAATCAATATCAAGATTCCACTTCTCGAGAAGATTATCGATATTGGGATATCATACTAATGTGGTATGAAACAAAACTGCTACTTCAAAAGACGGTCTCTTCGCGACCCCAACTTAGACTGACTTTCCTTATTGCATTTCTTCTATGTATGTCAAAGCCTTAAAATTCATAGGAAAGTGACTTTTTTATAATGACATCAAATACTCGAGTAGAATATCGAAATTACCTGAAACTTGACGCAAGATACGTACACCACCAGTCTATCAATCTCAGTCACTTTCACCGGAATCGTCATCTTCTTCCTCCTCATCGTCATCGTCTTCTTTTAAATCAACCACATTGCTATCATCTTTGCTTCCTGTAAGACCATCACTTGAGTTTTCTTCCTCGATTTCTTCGTCAAAACTCTCACTCTTGGCAACAGTTGCGTTGTCCTCATGCTCAAGAGGCTTTTCTCTACTTTCGGGCTCGGCTTCGGGCTCAGGGTCATATTCAGTACTGCGCTCCTCAAACGAACAATCAGGTTGTAAAATTTCTCTTGATCGGTAGCATTTGAACCATAAATTAAGGTTCCAACAGCTTTGGCTGATGAGCAAATAGCGGAATGGACGTTGCCGACAGATGAGACGGTCCTGTCGCAGCCAAGAATTCCCAATGAATATAATGACTCAGAACAAATGGCTGAGATGCCAAAAGAGAGAAGGACGAGAGAAGATAAATGGCGTGGCACAGATTCAAATGCCGAACCAGATGGAGAACCATTTCAGATGCAAAACACACTGTTACAAACAAATCAGGTCTCGAATATAACTGTAGCAGCCGACTAGGAAGTTTCATCGTCTATGCCTGCGCGTATTTCGAATGCTCGGGTGTCCAGAGAGAGATCCAAGATGAGGTCTGGGAAGGTGGAAGAGCAAAGCAGTCACAGAAGAAAGTGCTGAAAAGATTCGGGAGATGCTGCACTTACACTACTTGCGAACAAGAAGTCCGAAAACTGCAGCTAGTCTTCTCTATGGAACAAGTACAAAAGGTATCTAAATACTCAAATTTCTTGTTTTTTAGTCAAATTTTGCTTGAGTAACTCTTCCAATTGTTCAAGTTAAAACAAAACGATAGAGTTTCATTCCTTTGGTTTGTTGGAAGAGCGGGATGGTCTTCAAAGATTTGTAACTTTCCAAATATTGTAGACTTTTGTTTGATCGACTAATCCACCATATGAATACATCACTAGTGTTAGATGAAACTGATATAGATTATAGCAAAACACATTTGCTTCGATTATCTAGGAGCTACCTTGAAAATTGATCCCGAAGAGTTTATTGAGAGTTCTGAGCATGTAAAGCTGGATACGGTATTACAATATGTTGCTTTTCCAAATGTTCGAGTACATCCGGCACCAGATTACCCATATGCTTTGGATGAATCTACTGGGGATGGCAATGGATGCGGTGATATGATGTTTTTTTTCAATGGTTGAAAGATAAAGGAGTAAAACGTATCCTAAAGGTCATCGTCGACGACTCTAACATACCCGCCCATAGCGACGAAGCGATCGAAAAGGCTCTTCAAGGATTTGATGTCTAAATTTTGGTTTGGCGCAAGGTGGAACTTTGTCCAGAGACAATATGGACATCGAGTAGAATTAAAGGAGGTTTATCTCCAATGGAGTGAAAATAACGCTGTGCTTCGAGGCTGGAGCGAGCCAGAAGGATTGAGAAGGTTGGTGGATTTGACAAAGGTCCATCTTCATGTCAAACAGGTTTGCCTTCCCTCATCCTACTTTCTCGAATTACAAGATTATTAAGTTGCATGTGTGTAGGGTCTAGAAAGCCACAGTCACACGCAAAAGAAGATTGATAGCTTCTGCGATCGACTTAATAGTGACACATCGAGTGCTGAACATCAGAGAACTTTTTCATTACCTGCTGAACAGCCAGTACTACTGTCTATTCAGCCTAGAATCATCCAGGTAAAACGTAGTGATGAAGATGGTCAAAATAGACGGCTACTCACCATGAATTTCGCACCCTCCGAGATGAAGCAAGAACACATCTTACAACCTCATAGATGGCTCAATTGTATGGATGAATTTAAAGATGTGTCCCAAAACGTCTGGTCCTGGACGATGAAACAGAAACTTCAGCAACAGGAAGTTCTTATGCAGCCCATATAAATCGCGCTGATAGATGACGGCGTAGATGTTCTTCAGTCTCAGCTTCGCGGCAAACCATCTGACGGCAAAATATTTGATTATGGAGACAAAGGTGCTAACTGCATACGGTCGCATTGGATCTTGGAAAGAGGTCATGGCACTGTGATGGCCAAGATCTATGCGATCAGGCTTGAAACACATTTCGACCATAAAGAGCAGAAGGTCAGAATTGGGACAAAAAGCGCCGTAGAGGTAAGCTCAACTATGCGCTCCCACGAATGCAATCAAACTTAATTACGCGTACTGATTGATGTTTAATACAGGCAATTGATGCGGCAGTAGATCGTAAAGTGCAAATGATTTCAATGTCATGGACGATCAAGCAACCCGATAGCAATAGCGAAGAGAAAGAAAAATTTGACTCAGCAGTGCGCCGTGCTGTCAAAGCAGGGATTCTTCTGTTCTGTTCTGCAGCCGACAAAGGACTACATCAAGACAACGATTATCCCGCCGCCTCTAATCCCACCAAAATGCTCAAAATTGGCACCGCAAAACCTAACGGCAATGTTTGGGACTGGGTGCCGAACATAAGACACTTGGACTTTATTATCCCCGGGTATGAAGTCTCAGAAAATGCTTCGCTCAATGATGACTCCAGCCAGAACTTTCAGCCACAGACCGGGTCCTCCGTAGCAACTGCTCTAAGTGCTGGCCTTTCTGATCTTGTGATTTGCTGCGTGCAACTAGCTTCAATACATACGCAAATGTCCCGGCAAAAGGGACATCCAGATGCACTGAGCTCTTTGACCCTCGATGATCTTCGACATGTCAAAAATCATGAAAATATGAAAGTTGCCCTTGAAAATATTGGTACTAGCCCAGATAGTGACTATAATTTTATTGAGGTATGGAGACTGTTTGAAAAGACAACCAAAGATATGGCTGGAAAGGAAAAAGAACCACAATTAGGAGTGATAGCCGCATTGGCTTCTAATAAGTTCAAGGCTAATTGATGAGATCATTGGGCACTGTAAGCGGAACCCACATGTTTCTCCATTACATCGTATTCTCCTTTTTATTGCTCAGAAATTTCCTTAATACTATTTATGTAAGAATTCGAACTTGGAAATTCAATATATTCATATTTAGTTAGTCTTCTAGTGACTTGAATTACCCTGTTGAAGGCTAAATCATTTCAACAGATTAAAAATTTCATGAAACCGCCTAATCATTTCTGCAAGCGATTTATGAGATGCTATTTCCGATTTTCTATGAAAGAGAGGACACTCTCACAATAGCTTGGTACAACAAGAACGACGATTTTCAGGCAAATTTTCTCTGAAATGCTGCCTTTTTATCTTGATACTCTCCATCACTGCCTAGGGATCTGAGGACTACTGGAAAGGGAAAACCAGAGCTCGTCAAACAGATTGATGATTATCCAGTCCTTGTTAGCAGTTCCGAGCCCGGATAAAAGACAAAGCTCTGCTTACCTGCATTTGAAGATGCTCTTCGCCTAGGAATACCACGTTCCATTCGAGCTGACCCATGCCTGCTTCAGCTGCTGCCTGACTATGAACCTCCTCTTGCAAGAAATAAAATTCGAACTTAATGTCGTTCTCACCCATTCCCACACTAGAAAGAGGCATCTTGTACCCGCCCTCATCGATCCCAATAACATCATAGACCGAACCAAGATGTGTCTCTCTAGGGCTGAGTGGGTCATTTGGTTGAAGACTGTCGATAATTGGAGCGTTAACAGTCAATGCGATCAAAACTCCTCCAGGCTTCAGGGCCAAATATTTATTCTCAAACATTCTCCGTATCTCCTCTCGTGTTTCTGCATGATTCAAAAACCAAGCCGCGACAACCATATCAAAAGTTCCTTCTTGACCACGAAGGTGGACTTCATTCCACATGGATGATTGAGCACAATCTGCAGTGCAGAAAGTAACATGATCTTTCATCTCGACTGGAATCTTGATTTGAGCAGCAGGGACCATGGCGGACGAGATATCAACCGCAGTCACATGAGAAGCGCCCATATGCAACATTTCAGAAGTATAGAAGCCTGTTCTACACGCAAGTTCAAGGATTCGTTTGGATTGAACAATGAGGCCAAGATGATCCATCATAGCTGCATGAATTATCTGCTGAATTGAAAGATCGCAAAAAAGGTCATAATTGGCACCAATCGCATCATATTGTGTTGACATTGTTGCTCATAGTCTTAGCAAGGTTTGACGTCGATTATGATCGTGTATGAGGAGTAATAAGGGAAACGTGGTCGATGGCAGTCAAAGGCCCCATTTGGGTTTAATCCAGATTAATATAGTCAATACGTGCATCACGCTTTTTCCTTGACTTGAACGGATGTAATCTCCATATCCCGATTTTGTAACCCTGATTTGGACAGGTTCAGTACCTAGATATCTAGTGCATTATCTTCGGGTCTTTGCTTTGTGATTATTGGCCGTATTGTCTATGCCACTTTTCTCATTTGATAAATTTTGCGGTCGCCAGATTGCACGAAGTGCAAGACTCTAGGAAGCCGCACCTGTAAAGAATTTGATAGTGGGCGATTTAAAAAGTAGGAATCCAGCAAGATTGAAGGTGCAGACGCCGGATAACAATAATGGATTTATGGCACCCTACAAGCAGATTGAGGCAGACACTCGAAGGAAAGTATTTCAACTACTATTTAACTATCTGGATCACTATCGCTGTCCCTGAAATATCCTGTCTGGGGAGCTCACAGGTCCGCAATTGCACTCGTTTTCCTTGTGATTCTCGTGCCTTTTCACGTTTTCCTCAATCATGCTGAGATATTCTAGCTTTTGAGCCTCAAACTTCTCCTGATAGTCCCGACTGACCAATATTTTGGTCTCAAAACTAGGCATTTCCCAATGTCTTTTGTCAGGTCCATCTCGTTCATCTGTAATGTTAGTCGCGAAGCTCTTTGAGCGACTTGCGACATCATCATTCCATCTCTCCCTCTCACTATCTAATAGATTTTCATCCACTATAAAACTTTCGCTTTCCATCATGTGCCTTGCAACAGAGTACGGCGGAAATGGTTCTGGGGCTAAAAGTGGTGTATCCCGCGCTTTTGACAACTCAAACATCTCAATACACCTGCAAGGAAGGTGCCATCCATCTTGAAAAACAACGTCACTCTCTGTACAAGGATGCGGGGGATCCTGACCAGCTATAAGATGAACCTTTTTTACACCGCCGAATGTGCCTAGTAATCTAGTCAAGGGTTTATGTATGTTGCCGTCCGAAGTGCGTGCAAGATTGGGCAACCACCTGATTGGTAATGCAAGGTTCTCCACTCTATTAAAGCCTCCTGTATCTTGGTTGCCATGAGTTGATCGTGGAAGGGCAGAGAGAAAATCGCCTAGATGGGCGGCTATATGTTGCTGAGGCAGGTATAGGATATCCCTCTTGAAGTCGAACCAAGTTTCTGCAAGAGTATGGGTGCCTTCGCGGTACCCATTTATGAAGGTGCGCCCATAAAATCTTGTTGCGATATTGTAAGATTCTCGATTGACAAACAAGATAACAGGAACTGGAGTTTGTGATCTGAATGCCCAGATTTCGTCCGTAGAATTTATAGGTCTCTCAATGGGTTCGTGAGTTAAAACAACTACCCTGGGTAGGGGAATACAATACTCCCATACGATTAGGCGGATGTCCGGGGGAAAATCGTTAAATTGAGGGAACAATGCCGACTTGACGTCTGTTCCTGAAGATAGAGGCATTGTGTTGTAAATGTTGATGAAATTACTTGTGTTATTGATGAAGGCGGTTTTAGGGCTTATGTAGGCGCAGCAGGAAGAGCTAAATTCTGACTCAGCATATAGGAACTTGACCTAACATCACTGTTTCCATTATTCTCCAGTCTTTTGAACAGAACTGAGTATTTGCTCGACAGTGAAATTTTGCAACTTTGCATGAGACAGATATTTCATAATTGGATTACAAATTAAACACAAACATGGGAATGCTAACAGTAGCCTGCCTACCTAGGTAGCCTTTCAAGACAGGGAAATAGTTTGACCAGAGCAGACAAATAATAGTTTAACAAAGTCAAAGTCAATAATTGGGAGTCACTGTTGATCAAATAAAAGAAATCAATAGTATCGCATGCAAGGAAGGATCAACAATCATATGGCAACTATTGTTCAATTCCATTCCCAGTCATTTGGTATGTTCTGGTATTTTTTATACAATAACGGAAGTTTGATATTGGGTTAGTGGCCCCATCTCAATCTTTTCCATGCCGATGATTTGCAGTGGAATGATTATCAGAATCTGAAGCTCTTCATAAATTGTTCAGCCTTAACACCGCGGCCCCGGTTGAAAGGTCAAAATATGACAATGAAAAAAGTAAACGAGAAAGCAGTCGTCGAAAGTGATACGAAGGCTAAGCAAAGATGCAATTTTTAAATGTACGTGAGACAATGTGACTGCGCCGAAGAGTATGAGTTCATCGATACCTAGATGACCACTAGAGTATTGATTCAAGGACTCTCTTCGTAGAGACGCTCCTCGGCCAGAAAACTCAAGGAACAGTGAGTGCTAAATTCATCCCCTAGCATAAGGATGAAAGCCTCTGTTGCCACCCCTTCCACCACCCCTGTAGTTCGCACCAGGCTTTCCAGCATTCTTTGGACCTGTCGGAGCACCGGCAGGTGCATTCGGTGCAACCGCAGGAGGAGCAGATCCCCTATCACTTCCTCCACCCCCCCTCCACGACCTCTTCCACCACCAAATCCACCACGTCCACCGCCACCACCACCACTGCCTGGTTGAGGAACATCGTCATACATACCCTCCCAAGAAGTTGGTCCACCACCGCCTCCACCCATTCCATACCCACCTCCACTACCGCCGCCTCCATATTGAGATTGTTCGCGTTGAGCACGTCTCATTTGTTGTTGTTCGTACTTTTGTTGCTCGAAGAGGCCTTGTTCATAGGCATTGTAGCCAGGTGTGCCCATTCGACCACCAGGGTTACTCCCACCTCCCGCCGGAAAGTTACCTCCTTGTCCACCCATGGCCTGTTGCATCTGCATTTGTTGCATTTGTTGCATCTGTTGCATCATAGCTGGATTCATACTAGCCATTGCCGCCATTCCAGCCGTTGGACTTTGAGGACTTTGACTACGCGCGCCAGCACCTCCTCCGCCTTGCATTTGCTGCTGCATTTGTTGCATTTGTTGCATCTGAGCCATTTGAGCCATCATAGCAGGATTCATACCACCGGGCATTCCACCTGGCATTTGTCCTCGCCCCCCTCCCATGGCCATTTGTTGTTGCATTAGTGCAAAGTACTGTTGCATGCGTTGCCAATATTGAGCCATTAATTGAGGAGTCATACCACCTGGGACATTCATCTGACCACCTTGTTGCTGTTGATTAGAATTCTGAAATTCTTCATTGGCGTTTCCTCCTTTCTTGAATCGACTGCCTCGTGGCCCCCTGGTTTCTTCCTCTTCTCGTATGTTGCCTCGGGGCTGGGCTTTCTTGACCTCGATTGGCTTTCCGTGAATTTCGAGTGGAGCTTCCAAACATGCTTCAACAGCGGCTTCACTATCGAATGTGACGAATCCAAATCCTCGTGGTCTACCAGTGTCTTTGTCCATCATAAGAGTGGCATCTACAACTCGTCCAAATTGTGTAAAGTACTCTTTGAAATCTTGTTCGGAAGCATCCTGACTGACACCACCAACGAAAATCTTGCTTGTACGTTCTTGCTCATCTCTGGGAATAGCGCGTTTGGGATCAATCTTAAAAGTTGAATGTGAGTGAGTGCCTTTTGAAGCCAATGGGAGAAATTTGGAAGGATAAGAGCGTAAAGAATTGTTAAAAGTTTTGAGATCGGGTCTTACTATTTTGCCGTCAAGGTAATGTTCTTTAACCATGACAATATTGACAGTCCGGGCATCTTTGAATGTCAGGAATCCAAATCCTCGAGATCGACCAGAGGCACCATCTCTCATAACAGTACATTCAAGTACTTCACCAAATTGTGAGAAGTAATCCTTCAATGATTCTATAGTCTAAAGTTAGTGGTCATACAGGGGTTAAGCGTAATATTGAAATTTGGCCATCTCACCATCTGTCGTTTCCCAATTCAATCCACCAATGAACATTTTACTAAGCAGGAAAAAGTTAGCATTCTGGCTATACTTATCAATTCATATGGCGACAATGAGAACAGGCAAAGAAGTCGTTCCATATTAGTTATCTTCAAAGCAATCAGTGCAACAGTGCTTTCTCCTGGGCTGTTTCACATCTCGGGACGAGATGACATCCATTCTCGATTGTTGACTGGAAAAATAATCTGTAACTGGGCTGCAGGCGAAGGAGCAAGGATGGGTTGGGGTTTAAAGGACCACATCTGGCATTTGATGGAGCTTTCGAAATTTCCAGCATGATGTTAACGCCAGGTACACACCCAAGCAATAACCGTCTAACATTGCCTGCAAATCATGCAATAACGATAGAACAGATGGCACCATAAGATATCCAAAAAAAAATCGCGTTTTTTTGCTATCGTGATGCTAGGTACTGGCGTCGAAGCTATGGGCTATGGCCTATCTGTGTCTGTGGCTCTATGAAGATTATATCGACAATAGGCTATGTAGTAGTAGTAGTAGTAGCAGGTTTGACTATTGCCGTTTTGGATGGCGAATGCATGTGGTGTGTATACCCAATTATCTCAAATCAAATGACTCTGAGCTTATTCCAACGCCATTCCCTCTCCATGCTCCCTTAGCCTTGAACCAAGTCCAAAGTATATACCCAATGCCAAAGCAGGATATAACATTGGATCAAGCGCCCCAAGACCCCTTCACATAGCCACATAAACCCCCGAAAGCTCCCATCCAGTTTTACCCGTCCCCATCTTATTTGATTCCATTCCTGATTATAACTCAAGTTTCCAGACTTGCTGCCAGTTCATATCCTGACCTCTGCATCAATCCCAACCCATCATATCCATGATCTCCATATATCATGCTTGGTTTGAGCTGAGCCCGGGGCTCCGTGACTACAGTCATATTGCAAATGTGCAGAATAGCAATGATAAAGTGTAAAGGAAAAAATCTGTAATCTTACCCATCTTCCTTAATACCTGGGCCTTGTGCTTCATCCCTGGTCGAAGGAGCATCATAACCACCCCCATTGCCATTCCCGCTTCCCAGATTGAAATCTATGTCCTCGTCCACATCTTGTTCACCATTGTACATTTGTTGATCGCCATCTCCATCTCCATTTTGTGGATTCTGTTCAATGTCTTGTTCGGCTTGTATTTCAGCTTTGATTTCTGTAGTTGGGGCTGATGGTTGGACAGTAGGTTCGGTCACTGCCTCTGATGGATTTGCGGCGTTATCATCTTCGGTGTACCTTAATGCAATGTATCAGCTGAATGTTTTGCGATGTGTTGATAGAGGTGCGACCACGAGAGAAATTTTGGAAAGTAGGTAGGTGTAACATGAATAGTACATACAAGTCAGCGAAGAGATCTTCCTCGAAATTCTCGGCTTCAGCCATGATGAATCTGTCTGTGTTCTGTGAGGTAATCTGATCAAAGTCAATTCAGGGTCAACTTGTAAACTGACGCGCGACTGCCGTTTCGTGTGCTTCTCGATGAAGAAGCTTTGCGAAAGGGCTGCAGTCTTAATCGCAAGTTACTGGAAGTATTTAGAAGAGTCAAGAAGTGTGTTGAGAGAGTTCTTGAGGTTGAGACTGGAATTGAAAGGAAACTGTAAGTGATGTAGAAAGAGAGAAAAAGATTGATATAGAGATTCCAATTCAAAGAGTAAATATCTAAATTGAACGTCTGCTAAGGAGGAAAGGCCTTAAACCCAATAATAACATTTGAATCGATAGCATGGCGCGCCCTGGTCCGTTCCGCCTTAGTATGATTTTCTAGCGTACCAATTTTGAGCTAGCGGGGCTTTCCCCGCCTGAGCCTGCGCAATGTACCCATACCATACCACATTCAAACAAAAGGAACAGTAATGAACTTCGAAATATCGAAAGACTACGAAAGGAATGAAAAACAAAGTATTGCAACTAGGTCATCCATTCTATGAGGGGTTGTGAAGATGTTCTCTTCTTCCAATGGTAGCAAGAAACCAGTACAACAGGTATGTATTGCCATTGTCCAAGTTGCCTGTACTATCCAGCTGACTCGAGCCACTATTGTAGGAGATGGTTCAGGTTGGTCAGTCTATCCCCCGTACCTTCTATCTAGGAGAATGCGCAGATTTCTGCATGTTAAACTATGCGCAATGTGTTCTCTTTATCGAACTGATAACTAACCTTACATTGTAGAGCGTGCTGAGTACGTTTCCAATCGAGATCTCTTTGCGCCCCGCTTGGCAGAAGCTTTGAGTTGCAGTTTTGAGATATGAATACCAGGGACTGACATGAACAGATCATCATCTCCTTTTTGGCGTGCCCGAACAGCAAGTGGTCGCCGTGATGCATCGCCTAAAAAGCAAAGTAGCGATTCGGGGCCCGGACTTGTTGTGGGAGCTGGATACTCTCATGCCGACATACTGAAGTTTGATAACCTGCACGTTTCACAATGTCGTCGTGCTGTAGAATACCAACTAACCTAGAATTTAGATCATTATCTAACACTTCACGACCCAGAACACCTCCATCCAATCCCTCGCACAAGCATCGAAGCAATACTCCACCGCAACGAGGTCCGCCAACATTATCCCCGCCACCTCGTAGAACC